GAGGAAGTTTATAGATGCAATTCCTGATTCCAAGAAAATAAATGAAGAAGAAGCTGATACTCTGCAAACAAATATTGAAAATGATGAGATTAAGGAAATTGTAATTAAACTGAAAGATGGTAAAACACCAGGACCGGACGGCATGAGTAATGAATTTTATAAACAGTGTTGGTCAATTGTTGGAGAAGAATTTACTGAAGTACTACAAGAAATGTTTAGTGAAAACCAAGTTACAGATAAAAAAAATTAGGATATATTACTTTAATACACAAAGGTGGTGATAAAGAAAAGATAGAAAACTATAGACCGATTACTCTACTGAATAGTGATTATAAAATATTAACAAAAGTTTTTGCAAATAGAATAAAAAAGCTGTTACATAAAATGAAAAGTGAAAACCAAGCGGCAGTTCCAGGTAAAAAACCAAGTGATATCCTCATAACCATAAGAGATATATGTGATGCAGCAAAAGGAAAAATATGCGAAGAACCATTGTTGTCACTAGATTTTCAGAAAGCCTTTGATTCAGTAGATTTGGAATTCTTAGGTTAAACAATGGAGAAATTTGGAATGAAAAACAGAATAATCAAATTTATTTCAGCTCTATATAATAATACAAGTTCATCTGTTATTATAAATGGGTTTATTGGAAATAGCTTTACAATTGAAAGAGGACTTAGGCAAGGGGATTCTTTAAGTATGTATATGCTCTTATTAACACTTCAGCCATTAGTAGAATCTATTAATAATAACCCTAAAATAGAAGGTATAAGAAAGCCAGGAAATAAAGAAATAAAAATTGTTGGGTTCGCGGATGACGTTATACTCACATTAAGATCAGAAATATCACTTGTAAATGCATTATCAGATTTAGAACAGTTCGAGAAAGCTACTGGCATGAGATTAAACAGAAAAAAGACAAAATTGGGAGTTGGAAGAAATGCTTACAGATCCCTTTAGGAGAAATTAAAGAACATGAAAAAATTGAGGTCCTTGATGTGACATTTCGAAATGGAAATACAACTATTGAAAACTGGGATAAATGTCTTGGAAAGTTGAAAGAAAAAACCCAAGATCTATTGAAATTTAAACTTACCTTTGATGGAAAAAATTTGTTGGTAAAAGCTAAAATGTTGCCCATGGGTTTACATCTGGCAAGAGTATTCCCAATACCTCATGTAATAGCAAATAGAATTAATACGGAAGTCATGAAATTTGTTTTTGATGGTAAGCCGAAGTTGTTATCAATTGAAGTTATGGGTAAATCTAATATGTCATGTGGATATGAAGTATATAATATACCTGTATTTTTGATGTGTCTGTATATAATGAGTGTGCATGAATATTATACATGGAGATCATGTGAAACAGAAAATAGGTCTGGAAATATGGAATGTTTGGAATATAATATTGGTCAACAGTTAAGTGTAATCATCGGCATACAATCAAAAATAATATTACCCATGGTGTAAAACCAAGTTATTTTACAATGCTCTATTAGAATTTATAAGAATACACAATATAACTGTGAAAGAAATTGCAGAAGGAGATCATAGAACCATATATAAAAGAATTGTCAATAATATGAATTCAGAATTGGTTAATTTTTTGTATCCTGTTGATGTAAACAATTGTTGCAAAAATATTCATAGAGGTATTATGTAAAAACGTTCAATTTCAAGATTATGTGGAAAATTCTACCTTTAAAAACTAAACCCAAAATAAAGCTTATTGCGGGTAATGATATTTGTGTTATATGTAATAAAGAACCTGAATATAATGAACATTTGTTTTGGAAATGTTTATTCATACAGGACATACCGTATGTGATTATATTTATGATATTATCATTAAGTTTTGTAATTGTCAATTTTTAAAAACGTTTCGAACATGCATAATGTTGGATCTGGGTGGACAGGAGTATCAAAATGCTAATTCTTCTCAAATAGATGCTTTGACATTGCTCCTGTCTACTGTTAGGTTTAAAGTATGGATGGCACGAAATGATGTTATATTTCAAGGAGTTACTCCAGATGTAACAAGGTTGAAAGAAAAAATTAAAAAGGGGTTGAAACACAGACTTAATTTAGAAAGGCATAGGAATGATAACAAATATGTTAATATATTAAATATATTATGCCAATGTTTTTGTTAGATGTAAGATAAGATTGTTTTAAATTAATTTATTACCAATAGTGTAAATAATTCAGTTGCTAATTGTCATTTTTGTTTTTTAAAAAAAATAAAAGAGTAATAATTTTATGCCATGATAATTTCAGCTTATTCGAATGAATTAGTTATTATTCATATCTGACTGAAAAACCACTAGCCACAAAATCCACGGAATCGTGAACGAAACACAGAAAATGAAGGAGAATGATAGCAAATATGGCTGTATGGCGTATCGTGTTAAATATATTGTGCCAGTGTTTTCAATATGAATGCTCTTGCCCAAGGGGTGATATGAAGTATCTATGATTATTTGATGATGTCTCATAAATAATAGTGTGAAATATTCATTCACTAATAGTTATTTTTGTTTTATAATTTCAGAAAAGAAGAGTGACATCCTAACTTTAGATTAGAATAAGTGGGAGAATGGACCTTTCCCCGACCTTTGACCCCCGAAAAATTCTTCCTATACTTTACCATTGCAAAATTTTCGGGGCTATTTTAAGAGTGCTTTTGCGAGTTGGCGCCTGTAATTGGGGTATGTGTTTTAAACCATCATTATAAATCATCGCATACAACAATCTGTTTTTTGAAAGTACCGGTAAAGAATTTTAGCCTAGTTTATCACAGCTATTTCTACACTCATTTTTTATTACTGCAATTAAATTAAAACTCCTAGGAAGACAGAGTAATCATTGAATTATCTGATTTGTATTTAAGTTTCCGAAACACAGCTGAAAACTAAGGAATAGTGTTCAAAAACGCGTAAACGAGGTAATGTTTACGACCACGCTTAAAAATCTGTCTGAGTGAGAAAAGTGTCTGAGCGGATGCGAAAAGGGAGCATTGTTACGTCACTTTTGCATCTTGCTAATTGGCTAATGTCACGAAGTAAACAGGAAAGTCGATGCTCGGGGAAAGGTCCATTAGTGAGGTTCCCGAGAATAAATGCAACGAATACTATAAATGTATCTTACTAAAGTCGTGTGTTGGTATCGGTATTTCAATTTTTTTCATGCTAGTTAAAATATGAAAAATATCTTCTACTGTCAGGTCAGTGGGTCGAGGGTAGAAAAGCCGAGGGAGATAGGGAAGTCGGTCAAATATAGGAAGGCTCAGGGAGATAGAGCAGCAGGTGTATGATATATTCGATAGAAGGTGAAGGATGAAAGGGCAGTCGGTCGGAATAGGAAGCCTGCGGGAGATTGGGCAGTTGCTCGATACCGAACAAGTGGCCGATACCGATACATCTCTAGATACGTCAAAAATGAACGTTTTTATATTGGTTGGGTCAGTTTATACTTTATAGTGCCCAATTGTTTAATGTAAATGCACGACACGTGTTCATATTGGTGGACGTTTTCAATATCAAGTTATTGTTAGGCATGTTCGCCGTTACTGTATTAGCAGGCGGTATTTAATTATCTTTTTCGGGTTCCTTTCATCTTGCCTTTTAGGCAACTTATTTACTCCGGTGTATGTACTTAAAACGTACAGATGTAGAATATTGGACACAATAAAAATGTTCTATTAGAAGCCTTGAAAATAAAACTAAAATTGCACGGCTATTTTTTAAACCATTGCCACAGTTGAACCAAAACAACAATATGCAATTTATATTCATTATTATTACTTAATAATAGGACCAGCCGCTACTCATTAAATCCCTGCGCATTGAAAAACCCACACGATAAGAGAAAACGTACTCAGAAGACACGACGATAGGTATGATGCAACAAGAACGCATACATACAGCCCAGCCCGTTTAAATCGCTGGTGTTGAAAATACTCACATTCGTTCGACTGCAGCCTAACAAGTAAGGAAGTAAATGAGATTGATATACTTAAAATGTTATCAGTTTCAAGTTATAGATTGGCTCGAAAGAAAGCAAATAACAATGTTTGGTATATTATTCCAGCGTATAATCAGCATAGAGGACTATCAAGACGAAGCGATGATCGGAATATCTTATTTTCATCACAAACGCCTGAGTTACTCAGGTTGGCAGTCTAAACAGCTATATTCATCATAAGGCAAGTTTGAATTAATAAAAATAGATTCAATAGACTGCGTAACTACTCGAAATAGCCTGCTGAACGCTCTTGAAGGCAAAAACAACAAGTTATTAAGAATTAAATCAGTACTTTCTGATTCGTAATTCACGTGCTTTATAGGTTTTCAGCGAATTCGGGCTGAGGGAAAATTTGTATATAAACTGCTTTCTCCAAATAATTTCCACGGGAAATGAACGAATCGCTTTCTTATGGTTTTCGCTTGTCACGAAAAGCCTCCGGCTGTTTTACAACTCAGAGGATCACCGCACGAAAGCGCCAATATTAGAATTTGACTACATGTTTTATTATTAGAACACTATTTCTATTGACATATGTGTTATTGAAGTTAATAGTTATAGTATTTGGGGGGGGGGGAGTTATGATCATTTATATTCGTAACAATTTTTATAAAAGCGCTTTTTGAAAAATTCTTCATCCTGTAATTTTTGAATGACTCGGCTATTAGCCTATATAATAAAACTTTTCAGTGTCGCTTTATTCTCAGTTTGTATCGAAACAATACGAGGTTTTCTTACCTATCCAAGGCATGAACGTCACTGTTATTTTAGAATCAAAATATGGCTATGCGTCACTTTCCCGGAAATTTTTAACCACGAGTTGATCACGCCTCGAGCGCGTGATTGTCTGGCTGTGTTGCATCAGCCGGAACTGAAGTCAATAAGAAAATTTTTTCCTACGCAACGAGTAAATAGTTCCACATGTTATATTAACCGAATATCGTGCCCTTATTCAACCCATATTGTTCAAAATCATGATGATATTAGTGTGAAATAATTTTAGAGTTGAAGTCAAAGAGTTAATCACTCAAGTATGTCAATAGCGCTTGGTTGTCAAAGCACCCGGATAGGCGGATGAATACAAGAGGCGTACATAGCTCGAGGGGGTGTGTTTTGTAATTGAGCGGGCTGGCAATATCGCTAACGGACTTCATTCCTTTTTGTGTTTTCTGACAGTTGCTGCGAAATTTTTATCTGCGATTCAGTCCAGGATGGCTGCTTAAAAAGGCATCAGAAATGGCGCCTGCATCACAAACGTGCTGCACTATGTAGTAAGTACATTTTTATATAAGTAAATTGATTTCGTATCCTAAAAATTCGAACTTAAGTTAACTGTTTGACATTAGTTACTACCCTAATTCAGTACTTAGCTTCTATGTTTTCGAAGTGTCCAGATTCTGACACGATGGTTTTCAGTAAGGTAATCAAATCTAATAAAATATTCATTCATAGTTATTCCATAAATTCTCTAAATCATTATTCACTTTTATTTCAGTCTTCAAAATGGCATCTTCCCTTTAACTTTGCATTCAACCAGCCAAGATGGCTTCTCAACAATCGAGCATTATGGATTTAAGTTTCGAAAGTTACGACGGTCAGAACCCCCTGGAGGGGTTCTTGTTGGACCAGTGCAGTATGCACTGGGAACATGACGTTGGCAGTGACGTCACAAAAAAGGCGGAAAAATTATCCGCCAATGTATATACCGCTACCGCCCCCAGCGCTTTTTCAGAAGACTTCATCACCACACAACCAGGTTTGTATCCTCTTTATGTTCTATGTGACAATGGTGTGTAATTGATATTGCTTATTTTTATCTTATACTTTGTTTTCAGATGTTCCCACTGGGAATGCAAGTGGATGGTCTTTGGTGGACCTTTCTTTATTCGAAGATCTGCCCCTTTCCGAGGACAGTGTCGATCTTGAGGCACTACTATGTGGTCAGCAGAACTCGCACGAAGACATAGAAAGCTCTTTCAACAAATTGAAACAGGAGTCTTATTTTCCTCTTGATACTGTCTGTTCTGCACTCCTGAAGGACGACCAGTTTCCAAGTTCCCCAGATTCGGGGATCGGTTCTCAAGGCTCTGTCCCCTCTCCTGGAAGTGTGTTGTCTGAGCAAGTGTCCCCCAGTCCTGAGCCAGTTTCTGATCTCTTGTCTTTCCCAGAGGTTTCTCAAGAAGATCTATCATTCATTGAATCGCTCTGGCAAACAGCCGAACAGCAAGCACTAATCGCAGACTCCTCCGCAGCATTATCTCCAATCCACCCTGAACCCACTTTGACAGAAGTTGTACTTGAACCAACTGCCCTATTGATACAACCAGTTGAAGCTCCAATTTCTCCCATCAAAAAGAGCACTGGAAAGGCAAAGCCCACAAAATCATTGTCCACCCAAGAAAAGAAGGAACGCAAGCGAGCCCAAAACAAGAATGCCGCCACTCGGTACAGAGAAAAGAAACGGGCAGAAGCGGACGTAATTTACCGTGACCAAACAGGGTTAGAGGAAAAGAACAAATCCCTGAATGACAAAGTAACCCTGATTACCAGAGAAATTGAATACATGAAGGAACTTTTGATTGAAGTTTACAGAACCAAAGGACTAATTGAATAAAAAAAACTGTATTTGGGGTGTAAATATGCTACAAGTTTTTTTTTAATACTCTTTTCTTTATTGTATAATAACTTATTCCTATTGAACTAGTTTTGTAAATAAAATTATTTAATCGCCGTTTTAGCGGCACCCAAATTTTGTTGCATCTTGTTGGCTTGACGTCGTTTTCGTCCTGGCCTGGTCATCGGGCTAGGCGCGTGGAAGTTAATGGGAAGGCTGTAGCTGATGTTGGGATGTACCGAATGCTTCCTGCGGGAATGTTTCTTATGTCCGCTGAATACAGGGTGACCCAAAAAAATCTGAACATAAATTTTTTAATAACTTCCCCAAAAATGAAGAAAATTTAAATATTGTTTACGCTTCAACTTCTGTTTGCGCATGATTTTACTCGAAAACGGTAATGCAGTACTCTTAACGCAAAAATTATTAGTTCTCCTAATATGTTCCAAATCACCATAACCGTTACGCAAATTCGTCAATCATCCACTCAGATTTCTGCTGAATCGCACTTGTAGTACTCGTACTCTTGTAGTATGTGTACCAGGTTAGAGTTAGGCTATTACAGTATTTTATTCCGATTTCCCCCATTTTAGTTATACACTGCCTGTGTTAGCCAAGTGGATATACCCCCTGCTCGTAGGTTACTTCAGTCCCTATACACAACATGATGTAATGTAGGCGATCAAAATTAGTTTCCTCCATGTTGGTACATACACTTCTGGAGCGCCAAAAAATTTTCGCGAATCGGCAAGGCCGTTGCATTCTGTTTTTCTCTCACGCCATCCACTTTTCGGAACAAAGCCATGGGACATTTTAGACCAGGGGTTCGCGAGAAGATTTTCAGGGGTACTTGGATGGCAGTCGAGTTTTTTTTGTTTCAATATTCTTTACCAAAGGAAAACTAAGTAATAGTCCGGCAGATAAGGGGACCTTTTTGGCCCAAGTTTGATTTCAAACAAAGTTTTTTTTATTTGTGATTATTCATCTTGGGGTCATTGCCTATCATTTCTACATGGGTGTGGAGTTTGCAGCCATGAGCAATTTTTTTCACGGCTCGGTATTTGTATTAGTTTTTTCGTCAAACCTGTGCATCACAATGACGCACAACCTGAACCATAACCTGTTACAATACTATGTTCAGGTTGTGCGCAATCTTGGTGCACAAACTACGCAAGCACCAAATTTACTAGGAAATTAAATCAATAACTTTTAGGTATTTATTGAGATATTTGTATTAGTGTTTTTCGTCAAACATGTGCATCATAATGACGCACAACCTGAACCATAACCTGTTACAATACTATTTTCAGGTTGTGCGCAATCTTGGTGCACAAACTACGCAAGCACCAAATTTATTAGGAAATAAAATCAATAACTTTTAGGTATTTGTTGAGCCCAGCGTTGGGTCGCGACCCATATACAGTATGTGGAAATACTGTCGAAACATACGCGTAAAATAAAGAGTACTATTTCAAAATACCCGTTTTTGTTGCAATTAACAATACAAGCCTGCTAATGCAGTCGCCAGTGGTTCAAGTGGATATACACCCGGTGGAGAACAGTCAATTATTTGTTAGCGAGAATTGTTATGCAGCGGGATAATCACGACGACGCAGTGAAAGATAATGATATCACGAGAACAAGAATGAGAAAATTGCTACATTTTATAGTATATCCCTGGGAAAGAATGTAGTTCATTCTTATGTTCCATGCCAATGCTTTTCAAACTACCAAAGACTCTCAACACTTTTGCTTCTTCTCAAATACATTGTTATTATATATTCGCATTTCCATCTGTTTGTTCGTGCTCCCAGATAACCGATCAGCGGCCTCCAAGGAGGACGGGGTCCCCTTTTAGGAAACCCTGTCACAAACTAAAAGGGGCAACCGTGCTTCTCTTGCCTGTTCTCATGCTGTCCCTGGGATTTAGCTACAACAAAAATTTCACGAAAACGGATTTTTAAATTTTATGATTTTATTAATATTCCCAAAAATGAATGATATACGGGTGGTAAAATGCCAAGGTATTCCAACAACATGACCATGTTTTGCAATTTACAACCAATATTTTGTATGTAACTTTGTTTGACAGAGCCCCAAGAGCTCCAACTACAAATATCAAAAATGTGAGGCCAAAAAAGTCACATTACAACATTGTCAAATGTGTTGTATTTACGATAGATAACAGGTTTACCAAAACCTGAACTCATTTGAGACCGCGGACTCGGATTGGGAAACACTGGGCTAGATGCTGTCGATGGATCTTGGCTTATATATATTAATGAAATAAAATATCATTTATTCTACTAAAATTGAATTTCTGACATTGAAAGGAGATTCAATGTTACTATGTATGCAAAACTAAACCATGTAGTTATGAAATAATTGTTTTTAACGAAAAGGCGCTCCTGAAGTATTCGTACCAAGATGGCGCACAACCTGATCATTGTATGTTCACCAAGTTAGGGTTCAGGATGTGCGTCATCTTGGACCGAATACTTTAAATCCACTTAAAAAAAATGCTCAACATTATATACTCCACACCCACCTGGGTATCATTATATATGTCATATACATTATATCTAAACAATAAAAAAAACTTTATGTCCCAAAACAATGTTAATTAAGGCCCGATTCTGCCGGACTATAACTACCAGATGAAAATAAATGCCAATTGAAACTCGGCGTAAATTTTCACTGATCTGGCGTTGTTGTGATTGTGACGCAACGATGTGAAATGCACGACTTTTCAGTCAAACTGGGAATCTCAAAGACAATGTGCTGCGAGCATTGCAGAAAGTGATGTTCTCATCGAAACTTGAGAGAGGTTTCGAGAATTCATTAGTTGGGTGGGAGACAAGGGCAATAACATCAACACGAATATTTAATTTAGTTACAGTAGTTGGTCAATAAATTGTCGTTGCAGCAAATTGTCAGTCAATATATCACAAATTTGTTTGGTGTCTGATTATTGGGAGTTCGCGTTGATTGTTTCGTGACTTGGGGGGTACTTAACTAAAAAAAGGTTGAGAACCCCTGTTATAGACGATTAATAATGGTTAATCCACCCAGCACTCAGTACCGGTGGAAAATATATAGGAACTGATGTCGTTCAGGAGGCGTGACCATCAAATAATACTAATAGGTAACAAATTATGTAGGTAAAAGTTCTTTTATAGAGTTTTCCTATTTTATAGGAATGTGATGAATGTTGCGTTCCGGCCAAATAATTATTATCCTATAGCCATTTTTACCTAGAAAGACTCATTTATGATCGTCATTACTGCCCATTCAAGCTTTAAAAATTCGAAATCATTTGTTACCTGAAATGCCCAGCTATACGTTCGAGCAGAACATATCATATCCAGCAAAATAGGCACGTGCTTAGGGCACCAAGGAAAAGGGGTTAAATTTTCATAGACGATTTTCAATGGTTCCTAAGTGTTCAATGAAATAATTCGGGTTGGTCAGACGACATAGACCTCAATATTGACCCGGTTGAAAGTTATCAAGTATCATCTTAAACCCCCCTATCAATGTTTGTAAGTATAAGGTAAAAGTATATATCAATAACGAAAAATATCATGCAAATTTATCGTAACTTGGCCCTCAATTAGCAATACATAGTGAAACTTACTATTCAATTTCAGATAGCCTAAAACGCCAGTTTCATTCTTATTATTTTTATACGCATGGCACCAAAATCTTGAAAGCGTATGGAAGGCGTGGCCAACCCGCGGCTCTTGCGCCGGTTACGATTCATCTTGTTTCGATTAAACATTTTATTATTGATCGTGCATTGTTGTTTTACGTCGAAGATACACGAACGCCTCCATTCAACTTACCTTGAAATTGCGTTTATTGCACTACAAGGGCTGTCGTAATCGTATCGAATACGAAGTCCGTCGGCAAACGCGCAGTTTACCATTTGGGTGGGGTGAAGTACTTGAAGTGCAAATAAAACGTCACAGATTACGTCGTCGACGACTCATTTAACTCTGAGATGGATTGTTTGAAATTTCCTCTAGTCTCAGATGAGGCTGCAACTTAGTTGAAGATGTTAGATCTTCATGATGAAGACCAACTAAAATGCGCTTAGAGGGAAGGAACCATTGAAGTATGGAAAAGAACTGCTTCGATTGGCCACAGCGACATACAAGCCAAACTTAAAGAGCATTGTTCAATCCAGGAAATGCCAGAAGTCCCACTAAATAACTTGCATAACAATAAATGGCTTGTAATTTTTGTCATGATCATGTTGGCTAGCAACATTTACAATAAACTAGCATTCTAACAGAGCTGAATAATAGCATATCTGATATTCATGTGTGTTTTTGTTCATAATGTGGCTCTTCGTGGTAATAAAGTACGAAATGCGACTGTTGGGTTCTGACTGGTTGACTGCTTTGGCAGTGGGCCTCTTGGCCTCTGAAAGTCATGATTGAGCCCTGACTGGTAATTTTTAGTTTAGATGGCGAATGGTGCGCGTACTTTCTGAATGTCAAAATTAAAATAGTTTTAATAAAGTTTTATGTGTTTCAAGCCTAAAGTTTTAAAGTGGACTTGGGAAGATAATACCTTGTTTGGGTACCTGGTATGCCTTCATCATCATTTTCAGTTCGAAATTTTAAAGACTAGTGTTCGCAACAATATTTTGATTAGTGAAATACGCACGTAGCTTTCCCTCGTGAAGACAAAAAGCACAATGTGGATAATGTTCGATTATATTTATCATTTCGTAATATAAACTTTGAGACGTGCTTTGGGCCTGCCACAGTGCCTTGTTCTGAACTTCTGCAATAACTTAACTAGATAGCAGAAAAGGTATTTTACAGAAATATTGGGCGAATTCCATCATGACTGCGCCCTGTTTACTACAAAATGTGAGTGAGAGTGCCACAAGCTAATACTGTTCTTTGTAATATATTTGAAGCGCTTGATATTCGCCCAAGGTCGCCAACTTTATTTCGTGTGCTCATTACGCTCGTCTGAGACACAGATTCATGTGAGGCTTTCAGAAATGTTAATCATAGAGGTTGGCGTTAAAAGCATTTCAAAACGGGGATAAAAGTACTTTCAAATAAAAGAATAACTTAACTATTATTATCAGTGTAATCAAGCCACGGGCGGCAACTACAAAGCCAGACAGGTGAGATACCAACAAATTTACGCTTTGCATCCACGTTTTCACTCCTATCGCGCGAAAATTATTTACGACCGGACTCCGATTCGCTTGAATGGTAGCAAAAGTATACAAGTCGTATTTATTTATGAGTTGTATATTACCTATTAACTTAGTGTTTGAAGTTTCAATTTACACCACAAAAGAAACAATTCAGTATAAAAGGCAGGACAGAACACCAGGTCAACACACAACAAGCAACCTACCACACAGAGCAGTGAAACACCTGCTATTGTAGAAATTCAAACAGAATCGTTTTATCGCTACTTTCGAAGTTTCTGAATATTTGCGGATCTAGTACAAGGTACGGCATTAGGATAGGCTGCATCTTTTCAATCTAGCGTATATATACTCTAGATTTTGATTACCTTTGTTAACGTCACTCTATTTTTTAGAAAAGATGGTATTCAAACATCAAATTATTGTCGCTGTTATGTTATTCTTCTCTATGAAGTATTCACTTGCAGGTAAGCATGTTCTATTATTCTCTCCTTTCGCACCAACTTAAAATGCAGCTAAAACAATCCCTTTTCTCGTTAACAGGAATACGGTGCTTCACATGCGTGAATGCGCCGTCTAATGAGGCGTGCAACGAAAACGGGAAAATAGAAGTTTGTGCACCAAACGAGGTTGGCGGTTTGCAAATTTCGTCTATTCTTGTCGGTCCTAGGCTATATTATATAAGTCTGTCGCTATTCTATAAATCTTGTTTTTTGTTTGCAGCAATCCTGCCAGAATGAAGTTCGAATAAACACTCCAAACGGATTCGGATACCTGATAACAAAACGTTGTAAACAGCCACTTGCGTGTAAAAATAACCAAGATCAAAATGACAAGCCAGCATGGGATCCCACACAATGCAATCTGCTTTTTGAAAAGAACAGTGTTTGTCGGTGCTGTTGTAGAGATGATTTGTGCAACAAAAAAGAACTTCCATGCAACGGTAAGAAAAATTTATGCACTTGTCTTAATGCATCAGATATAACCTACACTTCAACCAAGTATGTGATTCTGTAGTGTAGAACAATACCTATTTTTTTATTTCCAGATATTGAAAGATGCGCTTCACGCGGCGACTTAGAAGGTGGAAACGTCGAGTGTTCGAACAACAACTTTCTTGGAACTTCATGCCGGTAAGTTGTTATGACATGTTTGCAAATACATTATTTTGACTGGCATAAAATTATCTCGGGTTTGACAATGGAAGGACAATAATTAGACAAAATACAATACTGTATATTCAGATATTCGTGCGACCAGGGTTTTGAACTCGAAGGACAGGAAATCATCGAATGTGTGGATACGGGCGATGCTATCATGTGGACCGGAGCACAACCTGTTTGCAAGCGTACGGAATATTTTATATTGACCTATTTTTTATCCACTAAATCGTTCCTCGAATTGGGTACAAACGACAGCACTAAGATTAGATCTGAGACCCGTTTTGAGACATTTAGTCACATAAATAATAATGTTTCATTTTACAGCTGGATCATGCAGAGGATTCATGCAAGCTCCTGTGAACGGTCGTATGTCATGCACTAATGGGGCCAGAGTTGGTTCCTCTTGTTCATTTGAGTGTTCTCTAGGATACAATTTAATTGGATCTGATGATGTTCTATGCCAACTGAATGGAAATTGGGAAAATCAACCACCGCGTTGTGAAAGAAGTATGTGTTCATCAATTAACATGCTAAAGAAAATATCACTAGTATATTGCACCAAGATTAATACTTAATTTTAACACGTTATTTATGTTTTATTCAACAGTTCGTTGTCAAAGTCAGCAAGATGCACCCACTAATGGTGCAGTCGTATGTAGTTCGCAAAATCTTTACGACTCAATCTGTCAATTCACTTGTAATACTGGATATTTCATGACCGGATTTGGTACAACTGCATGCCAACTCGATGGCACTTGGACTACTGAAGCACCAACATGCAGTCGTGGTAAGTAACTGGTTCCAGACTGAGAATTATTCCGAAGGCAGGATACAAGTGTTTGTAAATAATTCCCCGTATTCTTCATTTTAAGTTTTATGTGAGGAACGTCCCAATGCGATACAAGACGGAAAAATATCCTGCAGTGATGAAAACTTCTACGAATCTACCTGCTCTTACTCTTGTAACCAAGGATTTTTCATGAAAGGAGCGGCAACAATTTCATGCTTGAGTGATTTTACGTGGTCTGCGGCCGAACCGACATGCGAGCCAAGTGTGTATAATGTTAAATTATGTAACAATTAGATTGGGTACATGTATACCTCTTGTCTTATCGTTTTAATTTCTTTATCTTTGTTATCTCAGTCACATGCAATCCTCGTCCAAGATCGCCCAATCGTGGAAATGTCGTATGCAGTGATGACAATCTGTATGCCTCAGTTTGTGCGTTTAACTGTGATGAAGGTTATTACATGGACGGACCAGAAACTACCACTTGCCAGGAAGATTTCAGCTGGACTGATAAGACACCAGAATGCAAAAGAAGTAATAATATTATTGCATTAAGTTTACACACGCTAATTGTTCAAATTTCAATATGGTTGCTTGGTTTTCCTCTTTACAATAATGTTCCTCATCACGATCTTATAATAATTTTCAGTCATTTGCCCTGTAAGCCACGACTCAGTTGTAAATGGAAAAGTGAAATGCACAGAAGGAAATGAATACGGATCAATTTGCAAATTCACGTGTGATGATGGATTCTTTATCATTGGACCAGAATTTTTGACATGCCAAGAGAACTTCGAGTGGTCAGATTCAGCGCCAATTTGCAAAGCTTGTAAGCAAATGTTTTATATTTGATATTTACCAATTCAAGACCTTCGCTTTGAAAAGCATACCTTCGGTCGTTTAAAAAGCGTTTAATAAGACAGGATTGTGACCATTGTGATGAAACATCGCTTGGTATCATCAAATGAAAAATATTTGAATACCCGACATAACTACAAACCCTTAACTTGAACAGATACTTGTGGACCTGAACTTTCACCGCCATCTCTTGGCCGTGTGGACTGCACAAATGGTAACAAGTCATTCTCCGAATGCAAGTACTCGTGTGGAGACGGTAGCGACGATTGGGAGACAAAAGGAGAGACAGTTACGACATGTACAATTGATCCATTCACCAACAAATATGCCTGGAATAATATCGAACCACCATGTTGTGCCAGTAAGTGAATTACCAAAACTACTAGATTAATCGTACTTGAAAATATAAGTGTTAATAAATATTAACATTTGATATAAATATCATCTTCATATAAATCGGGATTAATATTTTGGTATTGTGGCTTGGAGTTATGATTAAGAATTGTAGCGATTTATGGAAGCCATACATATTCAGGCCACAATCAGGAATTACGGCGATTTGAACTCACAAAATCTAATACCCTGGCTTGGAAAAGTAATCTAAAAAAGCATAGGCCATGTTCACCATCATCTTTCTGCAGAAATGTTAACATATTGCGTGATTTTAATTGACTTTTATATTAATATTACCTTTTAGAACGGTGCCCACCTTTCGCTCAGATCGATTTGTTCATCGTTCTTGATTCAAGCAGTTCTGTCGGCCGTGACAACTGGAATAAAACACTTAACTTTGCTGCCGGCATTCTCAAAGACTTCGCTATTTCCCCCGAAGATCTTCTCGTCGGAGCCATCAGGTAAATGTCGACCAAATAAGGAATTCTTTTAATCAAACTATTCAATTGCTAACTTCATTTTTTATTCTCTTTTCGGTAGATATAATGCTGTTGTTGACGTTAAAAGCGAAATCAAGGTAGGACAATACACAACTAAACAATCTACCGTGGACGCCATTTTGTCTCTTCCGTACGACGGACAAGGTAATGTTTTGATTTCATGAACTTTTTTATTAATTTAGTACACGGTAAAGAATCCTAAGTGATTCAAGCGTATATTTGTATATATATGAATACATTTGTGTTAGTGTGCAGCAAGACTTTTGAATCACTTAGGATAGTTATCTTTACTCTTGCTACAGCATCCTTGCATTATATGCATACGGATCCGCCGGCACAAAAGCATAGATAAGGATAAGTAGTTAGTCTCGCAGAAACCAAATCATCAGCCCGGTAAAGAATGTTGGTCAACTGTCCATTCATTCTAAACCCGATATGTAATGTAGCATTGAATAATTCATACATTTTTTTTTTATTCTACCTAGGTACCAATACTGGAAATGCTCTCCAATACGTAGTCGACAGAATGTTGACGCATCCCGGTAATAGACCCACTGTGCAAGATATGGTTTTGCTAGTTACTGATGGTATTTCGAGAGATGACGTCAAACTTCCCGCGCAGAAGTTGAGAGCAACCGGAACAAATGTAAGTAATTTACGAATATGGAAGTACCAGGAATCGATTTTGAAGCCCGGCACAACTTTTTATTAACCAAACATATTGTTTCATACAGGTTGTTGCATTGGGAATTTCAAACAAAGCCGGCGGGTTGAAAAAAGAAGATATTTTGGACATAACCAATGATCCCGAGAAGACCGTGCTACTGACAACTGGATTCGACGGTCTCACCCCAGATCTCGTTAAAGTTTTCATCAGGCAAATCTGCACGAACCCATGCGAGTAAGTAGAATACCAACAAATCCTAAATTATCATAAGTATTTAGAGTTTAAGGCGCTGGTCTGGCTATTGTGTTGGCACAGCAATGTGCAATGATTTTGGTAGACTATTGCTACTGAACAGATAGCGTTACTTCTAAAAACCATTGACGATTTTTTATTGGTCTCGATCATTGAAATCATTATAAACCTAACTAACCTGTTATTTATCTTTCAGTCGAGCAAATCAGTATGGAAACTTCGCATTGAACTTTTTGCAATAGACGGTGAGCATGGGAAGCGGATTAACACGAACCGGGTCGAATACGGGATGAATTATTCCATACTTATATCCGTACTTTAGCATTACTATAATTTTCTTGATTATTGTTGTTCGTTGGTGTTTTGTCCGCTTACAATTTGTCAATCATTTATACCCATTAAATGTGTTATATTTTTTCCAAAAACTGGTGTTGCCTTTTATCTTTCAATTTATTAACATAACATATTTATGCCAAAAAACATTGACCAAAGTTTTGCATTTTGGATTTCTTTATGGCTTAATCTTTATACCTAAGTATATTTTTATATGACGTCTCTATCAATTCTATATTCATTTATACTCACTTTTTGAAAAATCTTTATCTGTGCTGTTTGTGAATAAAATGGTGTTGTATTGTGATTGTGTATGGTTTGATGTCAAAGCCAACTAGAAGTAGGAGTCACAACAACACTAATTGGCGCGGCGTTGTGGCTCGTCGTGCTAAGCGCTAGGAATACGCTTGCCACCGCACCTCTGATTACTCCGCATGGGTGCGCAGGTTCGAATCCCATGCGGGGATAGTTATGTGCGAGAGGATTGCTGGTCTCTTCGCCGCCGTAGGGTGGTTCACGTAACCGCTGGTCGGTTACGGCTTCCTCCACCGCCAAGTCCAGGCTTCCGAAAACAAATAACTAACTAATCCCATACCCAACATGGAATGGTAACCGGACGAGAGGTCGTAGTTCGCCATATGGTTAAGCCATGTTATCGGCTTTCCTCGACCCCGGGATAAATATGTGAATCCTAACTATTGCACGATTTCAAGCCTGCAGCGTTGCGCAACAGGTCGTTCTCATCCGGTGGCTAGAGGTCAAACCGATCTCAGAATGCTCGTCAGGGATTACGTATATAAACCGGTCTTATCTCCACTTAGCGCATAAATGAACAAATTCGTAATTGCGATATTAATCAGAAAGAAAACGTCTGATCTCCTTTTATTCGTGAAATGTTTTCCATTTGCAGGTACACACGTTCAGAAATGCGTCTTTTGCTGACCTGAGGAGTGTGATTAGTATTAATCCGGGCCCTAAATCTGCAGAAATCGGTATTCATCGGTTTTTATAATAAGAAGGAGTTGGTTACTTTTACAAATCAGCAATTACACCAAACATGTCTGAACTATTCCCCACTTTTGCCTCCTGTCAAAACAACGAAAACTTAGTCAAAACCGAGTTTCTGTTGATACAATTGTCATTTAATTCCATAAAACGTTCTTAAATGAAACATTTCATTCCATACTTGATAAACACAGTTAAATGAAATCAAATATAATATCTTGAATAAAAAACGCACATAAGTTAGCTACATAGCTTCTACAAAGGGCTAATAAGCAAAACATGCAACATTGGTAACCCATAAAAAATCATTTATACGGCCAAAGAACATGAAGAAATGGCACCTACATATTAAATTACTGAATCTCTTTATTATATACAGTGATCTCTAAAAGTGGTGTTGAGTAACCCATTTGCTTTATTCGATACAGTGGTTTCGGGTTCGGGTAAAAGTGGGGTTGAGTGATACCATACGGGGTGACTATCGACAGGTCTGCTATCAATTTAAAAAAAAATGAAAAAATAACCCAACAAAATCAAATCATTTGAGTTTGAATATCAAATTGTCACCAAAAACACTGGTAGTTTAGAAGCTATCATTGCAACAATTCAAATGCACCCAAGGGCTGAAATTGAAAGACAAGTCTCCATCACATTGTGATAATACACATGGGTTATATTCTCTTCTTACTGGAATAAAATTAAAATAAAGAAACCCACGAACTGCTGTCTCAAAATAGAATGAGATTGCTGGACAATATAACACCAATATGTTTTAGAACTGAACCCTCAAAACGCGCAATCCTGGAAATAACCACAATTTTACAAAAAGAGCAATATACTCAGCAAGCCATACTTATAGGCCTACTAAATGAATCAATTCTCCCTTATGACAATGTAAGCAAATCTCATGGTATTGAGTATCCAATATCAGTTCTATTTGTTTTTCTCTACTGAGTTGACAAAAGGTTTAAATTGAAGCCAAACCTTGTTAAAATAACACAAGCACCTATTGAAAACAATCCGTTAATATGGCAGTTGAAAGTGTGGTAGTGTTAAAAGTTGGCAGTATGCCAATCATGATTCATAGGTAAACAATATTTAAGTATCCATATACCGCACTTGGTTAAAAGCAATTTAATAAACTTTAAATGCTGAGGAATGTAAATAAAAGCAATTATATACTAGATAGTACTAAAACCAGATGTGCAAAATTACATAAGTAAAAAATTTAAATAGTTTTCATTTATTACCTACCGTAGTTATTAAAATTCTAGAGATGGATAAAATGATAAACTAACTAAGATATTAAACTCAATATGGCCATAATCCAAAAACAAGACATATTAAGATAAAATATTTAAATCTAAGATTAGCACATGTAAAAAATACTTATTATAAATATATGATTATAAACTAATGTACCATATCATGCGCCATTTGGCCTTTATCATTTAACATGAAGTTCAAAAGCAATAATACATCACACAACAGAAAAGAAAGAACATTGAAACAAATTCTTGATCACTCCGGTTCACACCAAATGACCACTATCTCACCCAGGTAATAATAAATTTGGCAGGCAAAATAGACGAATAAAAATTCAGTCAGTCTAAGAATATCTTGATTTGGCATATCACAGGCTACTTGACCAGAGCCTCATTCAAACTGGGGGTGGCTAAAAACGCCTCAAAAAATGTGGACGGTGACAAAACGGTTAATTTCCAAGATTTTCTTGTTATTTATAAAAAAAACACTCACAAAACAAATAAATCAATCTCTAATACTGGGAATAGTTTTTTTATGTGAAAACATTGAGAGAAGAATGTCAACTAATTCTGACCAATCTCTACAATGACAATGCCGCTGGCATGTAGGCTATTGAAATATTGCAGAAATATCAAAACCTACATTGGACTACTGCAAGATATGAAGTTAATCAATGCTTCCCACAAACCCATTTTAAATCCTTACATTGTGAAATGACTGTGGGTTCTTTAATGCTTTTCCATGAGCATTGGCAGCAATACGCATTACACCCTGGCATTTTTTTCAATTTCAATTGCAGTTTTACCCGATCAGGCATTTTGTTTCTGAAAAATAAATAATCAACACTCGAATTCCACTGGTGATTTTCGAAGCATAATACTTTAAAATCGCATGATGTACATCGGAGATTATTGCACGCTCTTTTATGTCCTGTTACACTTATTCCCTTTTTCATACTTGTTCCACCCAGACAAGGTGGAAAGCATTTAGTGTTCTTGTTTTCAGAAGCATTATTCAACAACTTGGGCATACTTTTCTTATTGTTTTGTTTCATGATCGAATCGGAAAAAATATCTTCATCTTGCCCCAAAATATCATCTATTTGCTTATCCATGTCATCTCCGACTTGAACTGCATTTCGTTTGGGAATTTCGCGTTGATTAACTTTCCTAACATTACGTGGTCGTTCTGATTTCTCATTCAGTGCAAACTCACGTTCAACTTCATCTAACAAATCGTCAATATCATCCATAATTGTAACGAAAACCGACGGAAATCTGCAAAAACCGAGAAAACAAACCGGCGACAAGACGGCAACTCCCGAACTGACGACAAATGTTTACATTTGTTTGATTGCAAACATAGCGACAGGTACTTTTGTGGCGTAGTGTTCATTTTGACTCTAAATAATTAGCATGATGATGTTTTTGTTCAATATTCAATTGGATATAAATTCAAATTTATAATATCAATGTATATTTTATTTTTGTCATATTTTATGTTAAATTTTTGACAAAAAACAATTATTTTTAAGCTTTTTTTCACATTTGGGAACACTACTTTATAAATAGTCGGCCTGTAGCGACATCTACTGGCAAAAAAATAATTTGCGCGAGTGATTTCCTGATTGACGTAAATATCACGGGATCCCAACCTCCCATCAATCAGCTTAGAAACTTTTGTTTGCCGGTTTGATATTTTGTTATTTCTGTGTTTAGAAATGAATTTGACTTTTTTTAAAACTAAATAAAGATGAAGAAGATACCGGAATAAGATTTACTCGATAGTTTGTTTTTTATGGTTTCAAGCACGAAATGCCGGCATAGCCGCATAGGTTTACACTTTTTCATCTGGAAACAATTTGTTCGGTTGTTTGTTTACATACCGTCTTACACATCGCGCACACACCCGCTATTCAGTTCACTATTTTAGTTGTAAATAATTGCACGTAATTTGATTAGGAAGTTAGACGCCTGAATATTGACCAATTGTTTGTGTTCATGTTCATGCTTGTTGTGATTTGTTTTTTTCTTTTTCGGGGAGTGCACGCGTTTAATAGTTATAAAATTTCTTTGGTTTTGTTCACTTTCCAGATTCTTCGCCTTTCTCTTTTTTTGTGCATTGTTTTATTTTTTGCGAATGAATCGAAATAGAAGCTATCTATCTATTTATATTTTAAATATATTTTCCAGCATTTCTATGTATGTACGTGCAAAATAAGCGCACTCAAAAATAAAGCATAAAAATAAAAGCTGTTAGGATCGGAAAAAAGATTAGTTTGGTTATACAGTTATAGGTGGGGTTGCCCAAATAGCTAGTCATGGAGGGTGTTCCTCGGATGCCAATGCTCGAAATTGAGCTCAAACCAAATTCATTTGATTATTCATCTTTGGAGTGGACTGGAATGCCAAGTGAGGATATTCATGAAGCAACACAACAACAAATCACAGAAGGACTTAAAAAGGTATTTTAATATTTGAGCTTGATATAGAATCTTTCGGGTCTCGTGTAGTTTCGTACCTAAAGTACTTCTAGTGGCCGTTGCATAAAGATTTTTGCTTATGTCAGTCCTAACTCCCACCTGGCTGCTCCATCCAAAAATTACGAGAACTTCGAAACTACACTAGACCCAATCTTCCTGCAATTCTTATTCCACTTTCAAATTCAATCTGAAACTAGCTTGAATCATGATAATTTATAAATCAAACAATCGGTGAGTTTCTAATACTTCTGCATGATCGGTCTTTTTTCACACCAATTTTGAACTCAAAATCTATAAAAGTAGCATTGGTAATTTTTATCTCAATTGTAATATCTCTATGTTCGATCATTTTACCTATTAACATAGAGATATTTTTTCCATCGGAACATAATTTTTATCTGAGCAATTTACATGAAAAAGTTTGTATACTTTCAGCACATCAAAGAAGAATACGGAGATGATCCTGATAAATACAATGATGCAATTGAAAAGTTTATTGAATTACAATCTGCTGCATATAAAGCCTTGTTATTGATCGATTTTGATGGTTGTAATACTCTGAAAAAGTATTATGGACAACTTCATTATATGCAAAGTAGATTCCCATTTTCTGGTGACGACGCAATCAAGGCAACGTTTACATGGTAATATTTTATCTTAAGATTATATGTTTTGATCACTATTGTGAAATTTTAGCACATAATCGAGCTGTAAAAAATCAACATCAGAAACCACACTCCAAACCATTCAAAAATGACACCAACTCCAATTTCAACTCCAAGATTACTGTAGTTCTCAACTCATAGAAAACCAAATTTTGACTATAAAAATTCGGTGCTTGCTAGAGTTTTTTAATTCATTGAGAATGATTAGTCAAATTACTGATTCTTTAGTTTTTGTTGTATTTTTGACTTCGATCACAGCAATTAGAAGTCGAAAATTTTGACTTTGAAGTATTTATGAAGACTACTATTTTTACTATGAATGAACAATCAGATATAACTCTGACTCCAGCCGTAATATTAATATAATTATGTCAAACTCAACACTTCACAGCTCACTTCAAATTTCATATATGACAAAATATGAGAAATAGGCATTCCAACCAGAATCTTTCAATTTTAACTAATACACCATTATTGGATTCAATACGAAGCAACTTTCTTCATCATCATTGCTCAGACTTGGACATTATCTTTCAGTTTAGCACTCTTGAAAACTGTTTCATCATATGTTGAATTTTGTACTTGAACAGATATTCAATAACCATTTTGGCCTCATTATAATCTGAAAATTTGGAAGATTTTTTATGATGGTTTGTTCAAATCAAGGTGATGACACACAAGTTATCATTTAGAATAAATATCATATCTATGAATAATATAGCAAAATATCAATCAAATTTTTATTTATTTATATCTTAATAAACCATACTGACGTACTGGTAAATAATTAACAGAGTTGAAATATCATGAATGACTATGCATGTGGTATGTCGTCACAGGATTTTCATTAGTGTTCTATGTAAATACATGGTTATGGAACATTCCTATCTGAATGGATGAATGTAATTTCCCACAAAGTGAAATTTTGAAATTTATATTGATTTTATTGTAGGTTATCTATCTCCTCTAAAACTATTTTGAACATGTGCGGATATTTTACCTGAATATTATATCATTCGTTCTCATACTTACGTGCTCCATGGCGTCCCTCTAAAGACTCTCAACACTCGTGGTCTCCTGCTTTCTATAAGAATACATAGTTATGCTTCTAATCATTCTTTTCCATCAGTTATTTCATGCGCCATGTTTTTTATAAAAAGCCAACAAACTAGAGCAAAAGAATAAATGAATTACAGTCTAAAAGTTGAACAAATCGCAGTTAATTTACTTTAATGACTATAGTCATGGCAATGGTACCTGGTGAACGTCTTTAATCATGGCTACAAAGCACCTTTCTGTGGCTCTTCTAGGAGTGCCGAGGGCTTAGATTGAATAACCCTTGTCTATGTGCATATCTATTAAACGAAGACATTAGGAGACGAGACAAATGTTTCATTAATTTCATGTTATATTGCAGTCTCAGTGAAAAGCTGAACTTCTGTTAAGATGCTGTTTGAATTTCTGAGAAATTCAATTATTATTTTCTTATATTCAGGCAAGATGCTTTCACTGGAATTCTCACAGTTCATGAAAGTTTTACTTTTGAACAGACTGCTATTCTATTCAATATAGGTAAGCATGTATCATTTTATTGTTTGCTTTGTTTGATAATCAATATAATTTGTTTGTTTTGTAACATTGTGTAACATTACTTATCAATTTCATATTATTATTATATTTGTGGTAGAAAAACAGTTTAAATTGTAACCCATCATTTTAATGTTTCATATTTTTTTGCATTCTCGTAAAATCAGTGAAAAGGTGAATCTGATTTCAGTTTTTTGGACTAAGGCTATATTTAAACAACACCTGTGGGTCAAAGACAAGATCACTGATTATTTTCTCATGTTTATTTTTACCAAACAGGAGCTTTTCATTCCTCTCTTGGAGCCATGGATAACAGAACAACAGAGGAAGGGATTAGAATATCGTGTGTTCACTTTCAATGTGCTGCAGGATTGTTTTCATACATCGCTGATCATTTTGATACAACGTTAAGTCCAGATATTAGTCAGTTCATGTTGAAACTTTTCATCAATGTTATGCTTGTAAGTATAAGATTGGATAAATTTTGTTCTTCAAACGTTTCGTTTCACAGACATTTGCGCTTTTTGTGTGCTTTCACTCTGAATAAGGCTTCATACAAGCAGCTACTGATATCTGACGATATGTAAAGGAGTATTATTTTTGAAAGGACCGTGGAGATGACATTTTCCACCCAATTTATTACAAACTGGAATTGAACTGATTTATTGATTGAACTGATCTCATTTTCTTCCAGTTTTTCAGTACATTGTGAGAGTGTTGATGCAACATTAATATACTCTGGGTAAAAGTGTATGAATAATAGATAAAGTAATAAATAAATATGTGTAACATAATATATAATAAAATATAGTAAACTTTTGTGTAGTACTTATATAATAATTTTGTGTTCAAACCAAAGTTTAAGATCTAACCTAGAGTGTTAGAAATGAAGTAGTATATTTTGAAGCTAGGGCACTCTAAGATTTTTAAAATTCAATCCCTTCCTATGTGTAATCATCTGCTTGCGGACAGCCTAGTTCAGGGGTTTGCAACCTGGGGTTCGCGAACCCCCAGGGGTTCAGGAGAAGATTTCTAGGGGTACTTGGATGACAGTCGAGTTTTTGTATGTTGCTGTTTTTTAATATCCTTTATTAATACCATGGGAAAATGCGTGCCCAATGAAACTAGACGCCAATTGAAACGTAGATTTTACCTGATCTTGCGTTGTTGTGATTGTGATGCAACAATGTGAAATTCAAAACTTTGCATACAAACTTTGAAATCTCTAAAGGCAGCGGACGGGAAAAAAGTTGAGAACCCCTGGCCTAGTTGAAAAAAGGTACTCAAGCATTGCTTAATAAACTAAAAATTTTATTTTCATGCTAGGCTCAAGGCCAAGAATGCTTGTTGGAAAAATCAATGCAAGACAATAGAAAACACAGCATTGTGTCGAAAATAAGCCAACAAGTTGTCGACTATTATAAACAATGCTTACAAAGTCTCGAAATTAAAGACTGTAAGGATACGCTCGGAAGTCATGCTCATCAACATTGGAAAAGAATCATATCGTTCAAAGTTGCATATTATTCAGCTATTACAAAGGTATATATAGTGTGTAATAGTTTTCTTATAGTTTCAATTAGATGGTGGAGGTGTCCCAATTTGAATGTGGAAATTTTAGTTTGTTTTGTTCAACGGGGAAATACCAACTTTGGTTGTCTGAAATGTCACACATGTAAATGTGGTTTACGGCATTCACACCTTGTAATGTTCCAATAGGACCCGAACCCATTGTTTTTAACTCATTGTTTTCTATTAGTGCACACTTTTCTTACACTAGGATTTACATATTTATCCCGGGGAGAGTAAAGCCGATAAGACGGCTTAATCATATGGCGAACCACGGCCTCTCGTCCGATTACCAGTCCAGGTCGGGTATGGGATTAGTTAGCCAGGTATTTGTTTTCGGAAGCATGGACTCGATGGTGGAGGAAGCCGTAACCAACCAGCGGTTACGTGAACCACCCTACCCTACTATTCAAGCACTCAATATTGTACTCCTTTTCTTCTAGTACTACATGGGAAATAATTCATTAGATCAAGACAAATACGGCCAAGCTGTTGCATTCTTTGGTGCCTCTGTTGGGCATTTGAATGAAACGACCAAACTCGCTAAGAATCTACAGAAAGATACTAGATTGAAAGTTGACGAAGCTTTGAAATTTACATCTGATGTTTTGAATGGAAAGTAAGTTAAGATTGAGCATTTATACTTTTTATCCCATTTTTTATTTTGCTCTACACAAGTCTCTATATAAGATTTCACTGATATTTGAGTAACTACTTTATTTTGTAAAGACCGGAACTCTTCGGTTCGACATTGCTCACCCATACCCTGGGTGAGATGATGAGTATGGGTTAAACCTGTCATGCGGTCATAGTTAAGTCTAACGCTTTAACCAATAGTCCAACGTGCCTTTGTTTACAGTATGTAATAAGTACTTTTAGCAAGGATTTAGGACAGGATTTACATATTTGTTCCTGTCTGGTATGGGTTTAGTTAGCCAGTTATTTGTTTCAGATTCATGGCCAATACAATTCTGAAATACTAATCTTGGTTTTATTCTAAATTAGATGATGTTTAATGAAGAACATATTTATATAGATGTCGATCTATATTCCATAAATTTAGGAGTCAGAAATACAGTAAAGTTAAGATTTTAACAGTGATTTGAATATTTTTTTATTATCTATAATTTTAATAAATGAAGAGCTTTTTGTTCACACTGTGAGACTTCAATTGCTTAAAATGTTGATTTTTGAATTGAAACTTCAAAATGTTTCTATTTTTAAACACTTTGAAACTTGAATTATATAAATTACCTTTTTGAAAAACCTGAAACTGAATAGTTGAAATTATATGCATCTTTTTACATATTAATTCGTGGCATTCAAAATTTTACTGTACAGTTGTATATAGCAGTATACAGCAGTATTCAGTAGGCCTATCCGATTATTAATCCAACTACTGAGTAAATGCTGAATAGTAATTAACAGCTATAGGAAATAGCTTCACAATTATTTCGTTTTATGCTTACTGTTCAAAATATTTGACCATATGTTGCTTGCCAGTGTACTGAGATTTTATACGTTACTGCCTACATTTTTATAGAACTCAATTACAGTATTCTTTCTCAGTGTATGTACTAGATTTCATGCTATAAAACCATTATATAGAGGTAGGGTAAATTAAAATGTTGGGCTCTATGTTGTCTGTATGTTGAGGTATTTTATGAGTTAATGTCTTTGGTTTTATGATACTCAATTTCAGTATAATTCACTAGTGTTTGCACTGATTTTAGATTTTTTTTTTCAACTGGGAGAGTCTTGATATATAGTAGGGTAACTAACAAATATTAAAATATGTGGAAAAGTCTAACCGAAGAATAAAATTTCTTCAACAACTCATTTGACATTATATGTAAACAATCAAATTTGAGTTGGGGATATTGAACAATTCAATTTAAACTAATGATATTAGAAATTTTTTTTGTTTTTTTTTATAATTGGTGAGTGTATGCCAATTTTAATTTGACAAAATTTGATTTATAGATGCGTTCAGATCAGTTGAAATTATTTGCAAAAAGTATTTTAGAACATCAAACTATTTGGCTCTGAATATTCTTAAACTGAGTATAATAAGATAGATATTATTTTGAGATATTATTTAAAAATCCACTTTGGCACAAAAATACAATATTCCAGACCAGGGCAGTAAGGCTGCCTCAACCTTAAATGAGGTTAAAAACATAAGACATGAAAATACTATAGCCAATCTCACCCTGTAGCATATATTATGAGTAAAAACTTGATGAAAAACTTCCTAATTGGTCTTTGAGCTTCTGAGCATTGATTGGCAATATGCACTATCAAAAACTCTTTGAGACATATTATTATGTGTCCTTTAAAATTTTTATGACTGGTAGTTTTGTTTGCAAATAGATTTCAACCAGTAGATCATTTGCTATGCCTATCTGTTCTCACAAATTACTCTAGCTTTTCATCCATCTTATTGTTGACGATGAAATAATATACACATTTTAGTTTAAACATATTATTTTAATGCTACCGTAGTTAAAAAATATTTGTTTCTGCTTTTCAGGTACAACAGTTCCGTAAAAGATAATAATTTTGTATATCACGACAAAGTTCCTGATGCATCTGTACTGCCAGAAGTGAAAGGTGCTTCTCTTGTGAAAGCTTTACCATTCGAACCAGCAAACGAATCTTTGACAGGACCAGATATCTTCGCAAAACTCGTTCCAATGGAAGCACACCTTGCTGCATCAACATACAGGTTGGTGAATGCTGATTAGATTAGGCCAGATTAGAATTAAAAATGCAGTTTTTTTACATTCTGCGTTACTTAATTACCATATTAATGTTTAATAGGACCATTTGTATAATCAGTCAAACAGGATTAATTAACTAGAACCAATTAGCAAACTAACAGCCAGACAAATATATTGCTTTTGGAGGGCATAATGATTCTGCTTAAAAAAAATTCTGAAAAGAATAACACTTTAATGGTTGATCCTAAACCATTTGCTAAGGAGAATGACATAATATCTTGACTATATTACACCTTGGAAAATTATGTTATTCAGCAACATAATGTGAAGTGAAAAAGCATCATAAAAAATGGTTCATTTATTCATTGCGGCATGGTGACACAATCGATTCGTTGATTTTGTCGATTATTTCACCATATTGGATTTCAATATTTAAATTTGACCACCCATTTTACACATTTTTATTATTAGTAAACACCAAAGTAACGATACTAATAGACCGTAGGCATACCAAAATATTTCCAAATATGAATATGTTATATAACAAATATATCTATGGTTAGTTCTCAAATTACAACTGTTTATTTATTTATGGATCACATGACTTTCATATCCAACTCTGAACTTATCATCTCAGTGAAGTATTTGAATATTTATATGATTATTTGAGTATGGATTATTCATGGCATCATATATGTTCCATGATTGATTGAGCATTGTGTATGATTTGAATGATGAAATAAAAAAATTGCACCTTATGTTTTTATGTAATGCTATTCTTATTGTTATGTTTTTATACAAAGTCAATTTTGGTTTCAAATTTTTCTGTATTTATATATTTTAATTTACAGTGAAGAAAAAGCGAAGCTCTTGAGATCTGTTGTTGAAAAAATTATTGAGAAAGATGAAGTGTTAAAGTAAGTTATTAACAACTAAATATACAAATGTAAATTAGTACGTCACTAGAATAGGTTATTTTGTATATTGATATTGGTGGAAACTGGAAAGGAAAAATACAAGATGACTCAATCATTACGCGAAAAACTACCTTTTGGCCTTGACTGGGTGGACCAAATAATTTGAGATTCTGAATACATTCTAAAATTGCATTTTTGTGATATTGAATGTCATTGTCAATATATTCTAAACTGGGTCATACTTAACAAAGAATAAATAGAAGCCAACATAAATTCAATCTTTTTTGGAAATGCAGGAAAGTGGGACTAACCAGTGAATCGATTGATTTTCAGAGCTTAATGTTTGGTTGAGACTGGCTCAACACCACCTCATCAATACAAAAAATCCATCAATATTCTCGCTCTTGAACATCTCTCATAGAATTCAATTTTATGAACCCATGCTGGGCAACATCTAACATAAATACAGTAATTTAATATAAAAATAATAATCTTAGTCAATTGTCAATGAAAGATATTTAAAATGACTAATCGGCAGTCTTGTTACAAGTATTCTAGTCAATTCAACATATTATTTTCAGCCAATACAAACAATCAATTGAACTGGATCCTAACAAGTTAATCAATTACACGGAAACAAGCAAGTTGGATCAAACCTTGATTGAAAAATGTGCTCAATTAAGTGTAGATCAGTCTCCAATCACAAAGTTACAACAAGCAATGCAAGGTTAGTAGGAAAGTGTCATTATTGTAATTTATGTATTTTCTCTGGATAGCTTGGAATTTCATTTGTGCAACTTATTTTTATTTCATTCTGAAATATACAAGATTTACTTACAATAGGAAAGGATTATGTGTATTATATCTCTAAAGTCTAAATAGCTACAAATTGGAACTATCTCATAAAACTGTACACGATTCTGTCATTCAAGATTGTTAACATTCATATGGATTTTCAAATTTATATATATCTGAAGGCAATTACATATTTCCATATTGTTCACATTAACATGTTTTTTTTTCTTTTTAGATCTATCTGAAGTTTATTCTGACTTGGATTCAATACTGGATGATATTCTAGCTCTTGCAGAGAATGAAGAAACTGAAGATCTAAAATTCCAGGTTTGGTTCATGTACTTCATATTGATATTTCAAAATTTGTCGTCTTTTTTTTTAAACAGATTTTTTATTATATTCATTTATTTTTATTGTAGGATGTTGCCGGTAAAGATGCATTTTCTACATCAGAAGATGTTGAAGGAATTAAAAAAGAACTTACTGTTTACAAAGAAATCCATCATAAGGTATTATAGTCATTTGTTATTTGGTCCGAACAAAGGTATAGACAAAGAGACATACATATCTGACAATCAGACACTCAAACGTGGACAAATATTTCAAATGAAAAGTGGCTCATCTGCATTTGTTTGGTTTTATTTTGAAAAATTAAAAAAACTACAATGGATTCTAAATTTAAAATTTTCTTCTGTTCAAATTCCTAAACTGTTTTTTTGACATTCCCGTAGTTTTCGTTCTAAGATGGCGCACAACCTGCTAACCCGAACCTGGTACATAAATATGCTATGTTCAGGTTGTGCGCCATCTTGGTACAAATCCTACGGGAGCATTAATTTTCCTTTATCAAATCTAATTTTTTTATGTCTCAGGCTACGCAAATGAATGACGATCTACATACTGCATGTAGGATTCATATTAATAATATGAAGTTAATTGCTGGCGGAATGGATTCCTTGAAAGGAGAATTGAATTTAACAAACATAGCTGATTTATTGAGTAAGATTTTTTATTAATTTTGATAATTGAGAGATGTCCAGCATTATTTTTTTTCATGATATATTCGATATTTTCCCAAATGTAGGCGAAGAAGATAAAAACGTTGTCGAACTGATTCGCAAACTTTGTGACAAAGTTGTTGAAATGGAAGTGCAGCGTAAAAATCTTCTGCAAGAATTGAGACAACAAATGGAATCAGACGACGTCACCTCAACACTGGTCACGAAACATGGTGTTGATCAGGAGGTTTGTATTATGTATAGGGTAGCGGTTCTCAAAGTTTCTGGTTTATAAAAATAACTAATTTTGCTTTTTACGGCCTTTTATCAGCTCTCTTATTGGCGCTCCAGAAGTGCACGTACCAATATGGAGTTAAATAATTTTGTCCGCCTACTTTACATCAACCTATGAGCAGGAGGTACGGTATATTCACTTGGCTAACACAGACAGTCTCCGAACTTGTAATAGAACTGAAATAGGGAAAATGGGAATGAAATTATGGCCTAACCCTAACCTGGTACATATATCCTAGGAATACCTTCGTATTTGCTAATTATAATAATGAAAAGCCAACAAATGTATGTTAGAGGATAATGGCATTATGGTCAAAAGTATACTAGGGATCTGATGACCCTGTCTAAAAGCCTTGGTATAGACATATTAGAGTTTTATGCAATATAAATAACTGATCTCCACTTTGCACACCTTTCTGTTTTAAAGTTTTAGTTCCACAGGTACTTCGCTACTGGTATATTTAAAATCTTATATCGTTTCCCAGGATCTTTTTAAAGAAGAACTGAAGAAGCATGATTCTCATATTGATACCATTAGCAAGAATCTGTCAGCTCAAGATAATATTCTAGATGCAGTAACTGAGGCTAATGCACGATATACCAAAATCAGAAAAACTGTTGATACTGAGAAAGAAAGGTTTGCGTTTTGCATTATGATATTTCTAGGCGCTCTTTTGTTGACAGCGTTTGAAACTGTTGGCACACCATGCTATACATTGTTGCTACTCTTTCTATAGCACTCCCGATTACAATGCGCTGGTTTGAAGTTTTAAATTCTTCTATGATAATTGTGTGGGATGGGATTGCTGGACTCCAAGTCATCATATATTATGATTGTTTATGTAACCAATAATAGGATTCGGTTTCCATTTTTGTGTCCATATATTTGAACATTTCTCTCTTGCTAATAATGTATTAACTATCTTTTTAGGGTAGACCAGAAAGTCGGCAACTTAGTCCTATCTTGTGAAGTGTTTGATGAAGTTCTTCATAAATGTAAGGAAGGTGAAAAATTTTTTGCTGAAGTTTTCACAAAAGCGAAACAACTTCATGAAAGGGCAAAAGAGTTTTGTGGTGAAAATGAAGAAAAAAGAAGCAAGATTTATAAAAAGTAAGATTGGATAACATTCAAAAATTTTGTTCTACATCTTTAATGTTGTTTCTTTATTTTTCTTACTTCGACTTCTAATAATTTTTTTTGCCATTGTAGAATTGAAGAAAAAGAGAAAGCAAAGCGACCACCACCACGTCCTTCAGCCCCGAAACCCAAACTTAGTTCAAAAAAGTCGACGTCAATTCCGAATCCACAAATATCTGGACCCACAATCACATCAGGAGTTGATATGCCCCCGGTTGTCCCTGGCATTACATTGAGTCCAGACATTCTTGCAAAAATGATGGCAGAAGACGAAGATGAATTTTTGAATGATCCTGAATTTTTGCAATTTTTACAGAATCAAGGTAATTGAAATTATGTAGGTAGGATTCTGTTGTAATGGTTATGGGCAGTTTTGGGGAGACTGAGTTGGATTCAAGTCACCATTTATCTAACACTCGAAGTGACAGACGGGTCATCTGAATGGAATGACTTGGACCCATGATCTACTAGCCTCCAGGGACTCAACTTGGGTCTCCTTTGTCCTGTGACCCAACGTAACTCATGACTTAGGATTTAGGGACTGCCCAGCACTGCTTATGGGCCATAATATGTTGGAATCTGCATGCTTGGTAACATCTGAACTTTTGGGACTTATATTTCCAACAAAAGATCTCAGCCATCATACCCAGTTTGCCATAACTTTCATTCATTTACTGTCATGTATCATATATAGTAAACACAATGCTTGACAACTTATGATGAATTCAGTTTGACGGATGATAACCTTTTTCAGAGGGACAAGTTCCAAAAGTTCAGAATTACACAGTCTGTAATAATATGTGTGAAATAAGAATAGCCACACAACATTTCGTTCATGTAAAAAAGTTTGCAAATCAGATGTTTTTCATTTTTTACAGGTGATTTCAGTTCTATAGATTTGGCATCTTCTCTACCAGCGTCAGCAACTTCATCTTATACTGCAATGCCTGGTCTGGGCCACAATCGACCTCATACAATGCCACCTCCAGCGCCTATTCAACAACAACCGAACTATCCTGCGATATCAAGTCCCTCAATACACCCCGGTATTAACCCTGCTGCATTGCCCCCACGCCCACCCTCACACCACACCCCTCCGCCTACCCAGTCCTATTATCCACGACCCTCACATGGGCAGTCACCTCAATCCTTGCCACAGAATATACCAGACCCAAGACAATCACCTGGGCCAGCTCATACCATGGCATACCAACCGCATTCCCAACAAATCCAGTTGTCGCAATCAGGACTCCCTTATATGTCATCTACACCAGCATATTCAGTTCACAATACTGCAGCTTCTCTTCCTATGCAATATCAATCTGTCGCATCTGGTTCCCCTGTACCACCTCACCTGTCTCGTTCTGTGACACCCATGTCACAACCTATGTCTCCGATGCCACAAAATTTGCAACCCATGACACAACAGAATATGACTATGCCATATTATAATGCCGTGATGCCACAAAATGTTGCATCCATACCACAGAGCATCGTTGCTACGCCACAAAGTATTTCGAATATGTCGCAATCAATGAGTGCGATGCCACAATCAATGTCTCGCATGGTAGTACATTCTCCTCAGTCTATGGCACCAATGCCACAAACAGTGGCACCTCAAGTTGTTCATAATAATTACTATGCCTCTCAGCAGCAGCCTCCAATTCAACAAGCACAGCCACCACCTGTACAAGTGTCACAGGTTGCAATCGTTTACTCGGCGCCTCCATGCCACCAATCAGCAAATAGTCAACCTGCTTTTTCAAGGAGTGGCAGCGTAGTTGTGCCACCAATTGTTTCATTACTTCAGCCGCCTCCAGATGCATCTCAAAGTCAACTGCAGGGACAACCTTATTATGTAATGCAGGGCAATAGTCCGGTACCTGCTATAGCCAGCAGTACCACAATGCCAACGACACCACAAGTAATAGCAATGCAGAGAATAGGACCGGAACAAGTGCAGAATATTCCTGTGGTATCTGGAAACCAGCAAGGACAACCACAACCTTATCAAGGGCAGATTTATCCTAATCAGGCTCCCACTCCTCCTATTTCTACGACTAGACAATATTCTATTGATCAACAATTCAGCAGTCCTCATCCTCTACCAAGTGCCACGCCACCACAACAACAACGTGCTATGTCACCTGCGCCACAAACACAGTACATGTCAAACCAGCTTGGTTTAAATAATCAACAGAATTTTATGCCGCCTTCAAGCACCATGCAGCAACCACCCTCAGTTTCTAGGTTACCACAAAATATGGTTCTACCCATGGTCTCAACCATGCAACAGCAACGGTTCATATCACCAACTGTTTCACAGCAGGCACAGATGCAACCACAAACAACAAATGTACAAAACCAGATATTTTCATCTCCATTACCAAATCAACCATCACAATTTTCTGGACCACGCCAGATGTTACCAAGCCAACCAACACAAAACCAGGCCATACCACATTCTGGTTATTCAAATCTTCAACAGCAACAAAACTATGGGCTGCCTAATCAACAAATATCACAAACTGGCTCTGGTTTACCATCAAACCAACCATACCAAGCTGGCATGGTTCAACCAGCCCAAGGTGGTGGGATGGTCCAGCCACATGGATCACAATCATACCAGCAAGTGCCGTCGCAGCAACAAACTATCCAACAACCAAACCAGAATGGTGTACCCAACCAAAATTTACAATCTTGGAATCAAAGTATGGTACCAACTAGTCAAACCAGTCAGTCAATTGGGCAAAGTGTAGTTCCAGCTGTTCAGGGAATGACCAGTACTGGCCAGAGTTTTGTTCCTTCTGGACAGAGTATTTCCCCACATCAACAAATGGGTGATCCACAAGTTCATAGAGTACAGCCTCATATTTCAAGTAGTATGCCACAATTACATGGCCCGATGTCACAAGCAGGTGGCACCATCTCACAACAACAACAGGCTATAAGACCACAGGCACCACAACAACAACCACAATTTGGTCAGTTGCCACAGTTTGCAATGCAACAAGCTCAAAATCAGATGCCACAACAAAATGTGATGCCTCGATCCTCCTCCGGAATCGTTCCGCCAAATGCCATGCCACCACAAGCAACAATGATAGAGCAGCTAGGCCAAAATCAGATGCCACAACAAAATGTGATGCCACAGTCTTCATCTGGAGGTATGATTCCTCAAAATATGATGTCACACTTCTCATCTGGAATGATTCCTCAAAATTCGACGGCGCCGCAACAAGGAACGAGGATCCAACAACATAGTCAAAATCAGATGTCACAACAAAAGCTGATGCCACAATCATCATCTGGAATGGTTCCTCAAAATGCCACACCATCACAAGGACAAATGATCCAACAACAAGGTCAAAATCAGATGCCGCGACAAAATGTGATGCCACAATCCCAATCTAAAATGGTTTCTCAAAATTCCATGTCACAAGTAACAACTATACAGCAACGAGGTCAAAATCAGATGCCACAACAAAATGTGATGCCACAGGTTCAATCTGGAATGGCTCCACAAAATGCCACACCACCACAACATGGAACAATGGTTCAGCAACAAGGTCAGAATCAGATGCCAAGACAAAATATTATGCCACCATCCCAATCTGGAGTGGTTTCTCAAAATGTCATGACATCACAACAACAAGGCCAAAATCAGATGCCACAGCAGAATACAAAACCATACATCCAAGGTCAACAAAGTTATTCTCAAAGCAATATGCAGTTGCAACAATCGAATCTCGCTCCACAAGGGCGAGTCAATTCTGATTCTGTAGGGCTGCCGGTACCAAATCCACAAGAAAATTACACTTTCAAGTCACATCCGCATGCTGGACAGTACTTTTCTACACCAAGTAATGAAAATTCTCCGAAACACGTTCCTGCTCAGCGTAGCCGGCAAAGTTCCGTGGACAAACCTGCTCATCCTGGACCGGTAAATGTATTATATTTTTATGAGCTTTGGTATGTTAAATTAGTTGTTTCACAGCAAACTTCAATTGCGTTCAGAATGTCCAAAACTCGAGGCCTGTGATCGAAAAAAATTCATTGTCTCTGTATTGATGAAAATTCCAGCTCCAAAGGTGTCTGTTATTTGCAGGGCTGTGGAGGTGAATTTTGATGTGTTTTGACCGACGATGTGGCACATCTTGCTAATGCTAAGTGTTAGGAATACGCTCGCCATCACGCCTCTGTGTACCCTGCATGGATTCGCAGGTTCCAATCCTGTGGTTGTGGTTCCTCATATGATTAAGTCATTTTATCAGTTTTCCTCTCCTTCGGGATAAATTTGTAAATCACCCTATCCCCTAAGTCGAGATTGAGTGTGTTTTCAAACTCCCAAGAGTGTGAACTCGAACTAAAGCATCTTTTACTTATTGAGTCTGGAGTCAGACTCAAGATTTTGGTCTCTTATTTTCAGAGGAAAGCATTTATTTCTCAACGACAATGAAAATTCATCAAAAAGATCTATGTGTACTTTCCACATCCAATACTGACTTTCAATCATTGAAATCGTTTCAATCGTTTTTCGATTTTAGGGAATTTTGACTCCTACACCAGTAAACGAACCAAAGCCGACTCCACCCCTGCCTCGTCAGCCAAGTTCAGATTTAGCCGGATTAATTTTGACACCAACGAGGACTCATTCATCTTCTGCAGATGAATTGTTATTCACCAGTCCGGATCAGGGAAGTGTCCCTGTAAAGGCAAATAACCAGGTATGGTGTAGCTCTGACATGAGCAAACTACGGCCCATGGGCCAAATACGGCCCGTTGGGTAATTCAATCGGGCCCGCCCGATGCTGAGAAAGGGGACCCTCAACTGGTACACCCCTACTCTATTTCTATATAAAATACAGAAAATATGTTAACAGTTATTAATTAATTAGTAAATCGATAATCTAATCGTTGACTACTTTTGGGTCACCCTATATATAAAAGTATATTTGCAAGACGATAGTAAATTGTAAAGAGTTGAAAAAATAATCAAGCTATCACTGTCTGCGAAAAGCCACAGATCTGGCATGTGCACCCATTCTCAAGAGGGCTTCTCAAAACTGATATAGGCTGATCTGGCCTTGCTTTTCATGAATATTGCTGTGAATAAGAAGCCTTTTTATTCGTTTGAACATGACAGTAAGAATATTTAAACTTTTTAAGGTTGTTCTTGTACCTACGAAAATCGATGAAGAAAGCGATAAAATGGTCGTGCGACCTGTTGAAGGACTTCCATACATGGATGATGCTGACTTGATGAAGTTCAAAGGTCAAGTTGTCGAGTTTCGATCGAAAGTTGGTAATTTATTACACAAACCTGAAAGCAATGGATTATGTGCATTAGACAGGTATAGTCTATTATTTGATCAGTTTCTTATTGTAAATATGCCTTATAGTGTGTACGATGGTTAGGCAACTGAAAAAATATAAAATGATTTCATTTGACTCGAATAGTCTTAGACTAGGGGTTTTCAACTTACTTAAACCGTACCGTACTTAAATGACGCTGCCATCCTTGCTTTCAAAATTTACCTCCGAGAAAGAACTTCCCTCCAGTTCAAAACCCCTAAGCGGTAATTTTCCCATAGTTTGAAACCCCTTTCTTAGACAAATATTACTGTACTTGACTTTTGTCATGAATCCGTTTTAATTGTATTTTTGTGGCCTGTGTCCTGCGAACTTAAAATTGATTTTGATTTGACACGAGTCATGTGTCACGTTGGTAGCACAACTTTTTATATTGTTCTAAATTTTTTAGAGAGTGGAAACAACTTTCTGAAGCCCAAGAAAAATTTTCTCGTCAGCTTTCCACAGCTATAGCCCGATGTTCGTCGTACAAAAACAGGTTTCAAGACATTGTACCGTTCGATCAATCAAGAATTATTTTGAAACAAGCTAAAGATGATTATATTAATGCAAGTGTTATTGATGGAGTTTCGCCATATTGCCCACGATATATAGGTTTGGGATTCATTTTTTCTACATTATCAGCTATTATCAATTAAAGATAAAGATAAGTTGTATAATCAACTTAAGTTGATTATTATCACCATTGATGACAAAAAATTCTTTCTGACAATGTAATTTGCAGAAAATAATGATCACAGAAATACATTGGTGCGGATAAAGCTAAACTTTTTATTAAGTAAAAAAATAGTAAAAAAATAAAAAAAAAATACTCATATATGCTGTATATGATGCAATAATATATCATAGAAACAAAAGGAATTTGTTATATTGGAATTAGTCAGATTGAAATTTTTATTTTTATCATGCATAAAATATTGTACAATTAATCCAAAGAATAAAAAATAAATCAGTTATAAACAGACATACACAATTTTGGTCGCAAAACGCTATACTGTTAAGTTACTGTCATCATAATTGTTGAGTAGACGTCAAATAACAAAAACTATTTCTTCAACACGTTTAATCGATGAATATAATTTGGAAAATATAAATCAAATCAAGAGAGGCAATCATAAAAGAATTGATTAAGTATGTCAGTTTACCTTAGAAGTTTCATGTTTGCAGAGCGCAATCACAACAACGAAATGATGATGCAATTGTATATATTTGCTTTAAAGTTTTAAAAGTCCGACTAGGAAAGAATTTTCTCTATTTCTTTATTTTTTCAATGACATTTTTTTCAATATTTTCCAGCTACACAGTCACCTTTAGCCAACACTGCATCTGATTTTTGGTTGATGGTTTACGAACAGCAAATAACATTGATTGTTATGTTGGTCAATGCAAAAGATGTTCCTAAGGTTAGAAAACTCAATTTATTAACTAATACATTTACGTATGTTTGCTCGAGCAGAGCTGTTGGGTCAGAGTTTGGGGGTTTGGCATCATTTTACTGGAGTCAAATCCAGAGTCGTGTTTCTGAACTGCTCTGAATTTGGACATGGAATTCTGAATTCTGCCGAGTTTTAGTGGGAATGTTAGACTCCTAATGGTGATAAAAGACTATCTAAATTTTCTATTGAAACTTGAAAAGCATTCCTAATTATTAATCTATTTAGAAGGCTTGCGTATGGCCATAGTTTTTTTATCAAAATATGATTCTTTTCAAGTTCAGAGCTGGAGTTTTATTATAAACCAGAGTAGGAGTCAAAAATGTTTTCGACTCAGAGTCAGGAGTCGATTGTAAAATTTCCCGCAATTGGCTGTATAAATACCCCACTCCAGTGCATCAATGAAATCACAGTCAAACATTTACATGTGATTCTGCACAATTGGATTCAAATATATGTTGTTCATATACGCAAATCAACGTTTTACAATGGCTAGTAACTAGTATTGTCTTTCGTCTTGGGCAGTAAAACGACCACCAAACATAGAGCATTCTCTATTACCAATGTACTTCAACTTCAATTCAGAATAAAAAGTACGATAAGTGAAATTGATAAAATGAAATCTATTTTCAGAAATGTCCAATATACTGGCCAGAGGATCGGTCAGTTCCACAGCAGCATGGACCATTGACCGTGTCTTTTACTACTCGCAAGACTCATGGTGATTTATATATAGAGAGAAAATTCACAGTAAAACACAAGAACTTAAGTCTAGCAATGTCCGTCACACAACTACAATACATTGCTTGGCCTGAACAGTAAGTCTAATTTTGATTGTACATAGGTATGTCAGCTATTGATAGACTCTACTACCAAGGTACAGATTAATATGGGACATGGTAAACTAAAATTTTGTTTGTTACATTTGTAAATACTAGTAATTAATTGGCATCATGGACTCTGCAGTCTGGGAAATTTCGACTCTCGATTCTGCTTTAATACAAAATTGGCTTCATCTCTGGGTTGAAGAAATTTTGATTTTAACACCAGCTTCGAAAATCAAATGTTGATAACAAAGACTCTGGTGTATGCAAGTCCCCTTTAAGAGACTGTTAAAGATGTTTTAATCAACTTAATGCTTTTTGAGATTCTACAAAAAATTCTGAATTCTTCTATCACAATTGAACTATCACTCGATGACTATGTTCGCATTGTCGATTAAAAATTACCAAATTTAGCTAGTGTGTTAGTTTATTCAATCAATCTCACTTCTATTGTAAAAAATTGTGCAATCTATTCCCGTTTGCAAAGACATTCCTAGCCTTCTAATAACCACATTCATTGAAATGGCTTCCTATTCACATTTACAAGAGGCGTCACCAATGCCATTCTTTTTCAAAAAATATTAAAAAAATTGCTTTGTATATTTATAGAAGTTTTTCTCGTCTTTTTTCATGTTATTACTATTCTTTCTAGTCGATTACCATCTTCTGCGAGCGACCTTCTTTCGTTTTTGACAGTTGTGCAAAATTATCATAGCCAACAGAGAAATCTTCAGTGGCCTATACTTGTACATTGCGAGTAAGTTCATGAATTTAATTAAGATTTGGTAATATCTATTTAAGTAGCAAGTATTTTGTCTTTTGGCCATACCAAAATTTGGATCTTGACGTTTGGTGTCAATTTTTAGTTAAATTGTATACAGTGATACCTCGGTGGTCGAATGACTCAACACTCGAACAATTCGTTAGTCGACCAAAAAATTTGAGAAAAAAATGCTGAGGTACTCGGAACAGGAATTCGGAGCTCGAACACATATTGTTTCTCATGGCAAAAATAGTTTTGGTCCTCGAACAATTCGGTAATTGAAAACCAATTCCAAACGAATTATGTTTGACTCCAAGGTATCACTGTATTCAGTTCTTGATTCTCAGATAAAAAAAATTTGGCTATTAGTTCATTTTAAAAGCCAAAAAGATTAGATTTAAGACTCAAAGTTATTTAAAGCAAGTCATTAAGATATCAAAAATATCTTATTTACTATTGAATAAATCCTCATTTGGTTTTTAAAATAACGTTACTTTAACGCAAGAACGTAGTCTCAAGTCTAAGTGTCAGCCCACTAAATATTATTGAAATATATTTTTAGATCTGGTGTCGGCCGCACAGGAGTGTTCTGTGCTTTCCTTGCTGGAATAAATGAAATAAACGCTGGAATGGGAATTGTGAATGTCGTCGATATTTTAACAAAAATGAGGCAGAAGCGAAAATACATGGTGCAGGAAAAAGTTAGTATTTTCATTCTATTATTATTGTTCAACAAACTATTATGTTTGTTTGTAATTGAACTATTATTCAGAGGACTTGATTTGGATATAACACATTAAATTGTCTTCACTTCTGATGAGTTAGTTGTACTAGAATTCTGGTTGATCTTTTTTTATTCGAAATAATTTGGTATTCTTCATAAATAAGAATAACATAATCTTATTCCAGGTAATAGCAAGTATATTTGGGAGCTTTTGATAAATCATAGTCTAACTTCTTCAGACAAAACAAGATGTAGTTTAATCGAATATGTCCACATAAGAAAGTAAACAAAAGACAACTAACCTGCAGTTCTATACACAATATACTAGTATCATCTGTTTGCCATACAGTTGAAAATTAAGATTCACTGTGATAATAAAAAGCATTTTTCACAAAAAAGTGATTTTGTATTATCGGAATTCTGACAAAACACCTTTTCGACCCACATATATCCCAACAATATTTCAAATAATTAACTAGAGCTGCGTGCAGCTTTAACAGGCTTCCCGCGTAAAAAAAACTGAAGACGCGTTTTGCTCACTGGAGCGTGAACGTGTGGTCAGTCATGCATAAAATTTGCAATTTATGATGGGGGACTTATTATCTGCATGTGATGTAAATTTCAAGTCTCTAAGTAGTGTCGTTCTCGAGAAGAAGATGAAAATGTAAAATCCTATATTGCTCACTGGAGCGTAATGCCGAGGTCACTCATGCGTATCCTTGGCATAGCGTATCCGGATCATGTTCATTAATTATTGTTATGAATTTCAACCCAATAGCATGTATCAATTTTGAGAAATCGCAAAAAAACTGAAGACGCGTTTTGCTCACTGGAGCGTGAAAGCGTGGTCAGTCATGCATGAAATTTGCATTTTATTGCTAGCTGAGAACTTCTGCACATTTGAGGTGAATTTCAAGTTAGTAGGACCAATTTGAAAAAAAAATAATAAAAATAAATAAATAACGAGAATATCGGTTGGAAACCGAAGACTTATCGATCGATAGTTAGGGGATCCCCCAAAACAGAAACTGCAGTTTCGATTCATCCGCTCTTGTAACTTGCGCACTGCGCATCGCACACACACACTCTGCGAGTTTCAAAATTCTCTCGCTTTACAAAAATCTAGATCACTATATCAATAATTGATTGATAACTCGCTAATTATACGACATAATTCGCCCAAAATCAATAGGCTTCTGGTCCGAGATAAGATGAATGCCCAGATTCAATCTCGCTTTCGTGAGATATCGCGTGCATCTAACAGACACACAGACAGACAGACATACAGACAGACATACATACAGACAAATACCTATCAATATACTTACCGATCTTAAGATCGATAAGTAATAATAATAATAATAATAAATAATAATAATAATAATAAAACACAGGAATACAATAGGTTCCCTGCTGACAAGCAGCGGGAAGCCTAACTAGATATCTGGAGCCCTTAGCTTAGATCTTGAAAAAAAATTCAATTTGAGTAATTTTATTCCAATTTTAAAATACATCTAAACAACTAATTCATTCTGTGAAGGATTTTTTTACCATTCTAATTAATTATCAATTTGAGCTGGATATATATCTAATATCCTTGCTTATTGAATTTTAAATTTCTTATTCATCCTAAAAACCACTTTTTCATAAAGCTAAGCTGGTCACATACTGGTAACCAGAAATTGACTTTTCTGAATTTCAGGCACAATTGAAGTTTGTCTATGATGTCATTCTGTATCATGCTATTGATGTTTTGAAACAAAGAAAAGTATTTCTTGAGGAGGAAGTGAGACCTGTGTCAGCACCACAGCAGGTAAGGACACCACTTATGTATACATATAGTTATCATAATAATATGGAAATTCTTTAATATGATGACGTGTTTTCTGTTTTGAGATGTGGCTAAAACTAAACAGTGACAATTGAATTTTGTCAGCAAGAATTGAGCAGTATGAACATAAATATCCAGGAACCATTTTCTGATTTGCGTTAATGCTGTTGTGATACTATTGTCCAAATACATTTATCCAGTATTATGGATATTCTGATCTATGTGGAGTTTCCTAGGTGATTTGGGAAGCTCAACAGTTGGGCACTGTGTTAAGCGTTTGGAACAGGATCGCCATCACAACTCTGACCGGACCAGAAGCCATGGTTTTTCATCTGACTGAGCTGTCCCATTGGCTTTCCTTTTCGAAATAAACATAAAAATCGAATCCCAAAATATTAATTTGCAAGTTTCAATAAAAATTAATTTGAATTTTTGTTTTGAGATATGCATAGAGCATTCTTTCATTTTGTCAAATGTTGCATACATTACCTTTCTTCTATATTCGAACAGTATTAATCATTTCTTCATTCAACAACATGTTAATTACCTGGCTATGCAATGAGGTCTTGTTTCACTCAAAGCAGAGGTCTCAAGCTATTTGTCCAGTTACTTTCCTTATTTTTATGATTATCGGGTAATTTGTAAAACATAATTTCGTTAATCTGTGTCATAAAAAACGAGTTGTGTTGGTATTCAGATTCATCAACGCCCAGCGAATCCAACTCAAACTTCAGGACAATTTGATATTTTTTCTAATCAGTCTGCTCTATCTTCTATTCAAGCTACAGTAGAAAAGATGACAATAAAACCAGGCCCAGAAAAGGTAAGTTGAATAGCAAAAACACCTCATATCTTCATTAGCTTGGCACATGAGTCAAATATTGTTTCAGGCTGTTGAGTTGAATTTTACCCTACTCCAACTCACAACTCTGGATTCAAAGAGTATTTATGATGCCAGAATAACGTAACTTTGCCATGTTTGCCTTTTATTTTTGATGGTAATACCCCTTGCATGTTTTAAGAATTCTTCAATATTAGTACAAGTATGATACTTGCTTAGATAGTGTAGTAGATGATATTCCTATAATTACCAAACGATTATTTCTATTACAGATGGAAGGTAACAATTTTGCTCCACCAAATTTCAACAGCAAATCATGCAGTGACATACCCAGCTCACAAGATGGTTATGTACAATATGAGAACCAAGTTCGACCAAACACATCGGAAAATTTCATCTCATATCAGGCACCTCAACCAGTAAACGAATTTGGTTACCAAGATCAAAATCCTAGCCAGAACGTCATGGGTAGTCTAAGTGATCTTGTCCAGGGTACGATGACGGCTCCGGTACAGCCCGAACCCCCTTTGGTAAAAGCCGAGAGTGCCCCAATCCAAACTGTAACTTCGAAACCTGATATTGTTGAAAGCTGTAACAGTCAAGTTGACTTCGAAATATCGAAAGCCCCTCATGATGAGAACAATCCCTCTTCGCATGTTACTCTTATCGAGTCTTTGAATCCTGAATCATTCACGCTCAACAGTGAAGACGAGGAAGTCCATCGGAAGCGTAAAGTGACAAAAGATGACTTTTTCAAAACCAATTCTGGGTTAGCGTTAGAAAAAGACCCAGCGGACCCATTTAGTGGGTTGGACCCACTGTGGACACTGAGAAAATAAATTGTATTATTTATAATGTAAATTGTTAATAAAAATCACTTTATTATCATTTCTTGTATATGCTGCTCTTACAACGCTTGGTGTCTTAATCACATCTTGATGACTTGATTCTTATTCTTATGTTTTTCCCCATGTAAGAGGCATTTTCAAAATGATCGCTCAGTTAACGTCACTTGTTGTCGGCATGCTATTTTTACTTATAATGTGCAATTGATGTGTTCTTTATTCTATTGAATTTGCTACTCAAGAATGTTGGCCTACTTTAAAATGTACTAATTTGCCCTTTACTTTTTTCGCTTTCCGCAAGCTTGTTGTTCGTCTTAGGAGGTTTTCGTTTGCAGTTTTTGCATATGTAAGTTGAAGATACCTGATCCTGATGTATTATTAATTGTAGCCTGCAAATATATATTTATACATATATGGATATTCAACCGTACTTTTGTCTTAATTAAATGTCTCGTAACAATGTAAAAGTGTTATTTAATTTAGGTCGGAATGAGAATTTATTTCAGGCTCCAGGAATTTAATTCCAATGGATAAAAAATGACAACATATAGGACATAAATTCGGGAAAGTTGCTCTAACTTGGCATTTAATGCCTGTTTGTTCTTTCACAGATTTGCTAGGTTGGATATTGTGTTTCAAACAAATTGTAAGGCTTAATCGTTCATTGGAAGCGCTGTCTCATATTGGCGCAATTTAGAACTGTATGTACCTGAAAACAACTGGCTAACTGACCCGACATGAACTGGTATCCGCACAAGAGGCCGTGATCACCATATGATTAAGCCGCATTATCGAATTTCCTCTCCTTTATGATAGATATGTAAATCCTATCCTAGTAGTGAGAAGCATCTGCTCTGGATTTCTCTGTTTTGGATGGAATGTTTTTGAGTTCAAAAACCCTATACTGCATCAGATTGCGCATCATAGGCTTGTGAGCTTTTGGATCACACCTTCGCATGTCCTATGGTACGTAATTCCGAATCATGGGTAATGGTTTCGTGGTTGCTGCCTGGGTCCTTCACTTGACCGTTGGTTTGTGACACCAACTCATCCAAGTCCATACATTTAAAACGACAAACAATTGGTATCACGTTCATTTGGAGTACCGGTAATAGATAGATAGTTTATTTTGAAAACTCCACAATAATATGACAATACAAACAAATAAAAAATGAAGAATTCTGGAAAGCGAGCAAAACCTTTAAAAAAGTTTAAAACAAGACGAGTATCATGTGCCCGCTCACCAACACGCATTCACAAAAAAAAAACACAAACTTTGTTAAACAAGGCTTGGGCCAGAAATAAACACACAAAAATACGCGAATGTAATAAACTTTCGGGCTGTTGTTTACTTTTAAAATACTCATATAATATTGCCGTACTTCAGCAACTTCATCGTATTATTTGTATTTTTTCAATCCTATAGGCAGAGGAATTTAAATAGAAGTATAAACCTAATAATAACAACACCTTTACATTTTTTTCATGTTGTCAACGTGAGCGCTATAATCTGTCACAAATTTTGCGTCAAGTGGTTAATACGACGTGATCTTACGCACACTATTCACGCTCTCCATTTTCTATTTTCGTATCTTTATTATCTTAGTCCGTGCCCACTTTTCTGCCGAGAGAATGAGCACCTGTTAGTGAGAGCGCTTGGCAGAAGGCGTGTAGCTCGTGTATGGAGCGTTGTACGCAGGCAGCGTTTTGTTTATATCGCTTGCAAACCTAAGATTAGTTAATTCCGTGACAAAAATATAGACAAAGAAATCTGATACCACAAAGTCATGTATATACAAGTTCAGCGTCTTCATCAGTATACGCGTTTGTGTATGTTCGTATCAAAGGAAGGTTTACTAGTTCCGTATGATCAGAAAGGCTACGATGTATGAGCAACAAGGGTTTTCGGGTCGTTTTATTGGTAGAACGTAGAAACGGTTGAAGATGTTAATTAGCGTTCTGGATTATTTGACGAGGCGTTACCTAGATTACCAATATACTCGCCTAATTCAGGTCCCGATATCGACCAGCGATGCCTAGTTGTTATCCTTATTTACATACTGTTCCTATCGTAATACATGATTGAGCTAAAGCCTAATTATGTGCTTTGTACAACTTGGGTTGGTGATTGCAATTTTGCATCGGTTGGCACAATACTTGAAGCATTGTATTATTGTAGGTGAATGGAATTTTTTGTATGTATTCTTGTACAATTTAAGATACTATTTTGAAGTAAGCTTGTGAAAAGGGCAAAATTGACAGAATTTGTTACAATGACACTAAATCCATTTGGCGAACCCTTACCTCACTTTTGTAGTGTAATTTTGTTATGTCGATTTTCAACAAGTGCTTTTACTTTATTTGCATCTCTTGAGTTCCTACCGTGACTGGCCCGGGCATAAAACATTCCTAGCATATGGCATTTGTCGACACAGTACATATGCTTACTATCAATTATTCAGATCAACACCGAGTGCTTGAAAAACAACACGTAACCTAGATGGTTATCTATTATTGGCATTGTCTGTGATCAAGCATGGTCTCGTATATAGTGAGAATTCAAGCCGGATTTATTTGTCTGTCATACCCGATTGAATAGCCTGAATTGGTGCTTCAGATATTATCAAAGTCTGCAATGGTGTGATGTTTATATTTGTCGAACACTATAGAATATAGGTTATAGAATAAATTGACGTCTAATTGTCGTAATTTGCATTTCGGGTAAAGAATTCGATTTCGGTTAAGGAAAAAAATTGCCTATACCCCGGTGTAAATGTATTTGTATGAGTATGATTTTGTCATATACTTTGAATACTACAGTACAGATACAAATGTATCAAAACTTGATTCAACTTAACCAGTATAAATTCGTCGTCACGGCGCTGAATATTCTTGGGTGGTCGTGTTGGCGTCTTCGCTTTGACCGCATATTCATATTAAACTGTATCGAAAGCCGTTATTTCATTCTCTGTCTGCGTAATAAAATATAGTTTGCAAATTCCTTAAGTATAGGTGCACTTTGAGACTTGCGTAAGAGTTGCTTCATAGTTCATATACTTTGTTCTGTGGGGGCGTAGTTGAAAATACAGATATACATACTCTCTGATAGTTAGGCTAAAATTCCCCCTCGTCAGAAAAATAATCCAAATCATTCGGAACATATTCTAGAGAAAACAAATCTTTTGTACGAATTGTCCTAGAACTAGATTACTGCAACGTTTGGGTACAATCATGCACAAAGAGAAGTTCAAGTGTTAAATTTTCGCAGAAGAAGAAATTTGTTCTATTTCCTTTAGAATCACTCTATATATATTATCCTTTAGATTGAAGTTAATCGTGCCCGTCTGAGCCTTTGCGTGTCCACGTATCATCATTTCAATTTGTCTTGAAATGCTGGAATTCTGTGAGTTTCTACCATTGAACAAACGATTGATCCGTGTTAAGCGGTAGTTTTTGTATCGATTGCTAATGACGTCGCGTCTCAACAAAACCAGGTCGATAAATACGTTTCTGGCAAAATTCTCCATCACGATGCGATCAGTCAATTTCATAAACAGAAAATAGGTTTAAATTTGTCAATTAATTTTAAGCGTTGCACGTAGTTGTCAAAAACTTTTTTTTTTATTCAATTTGTAAGTGGCAATATTCATATTTAAAAATTTAGAAAAAAAAATTAAAAACAATATTTGCATAAAGCATGCATAGGCGGATATCATATCAGTGGTAGACTAAATTGGAATCGGAGTCCAATTGCAGTAAACGCGATAACATATATCATTGACGTTCAGATAAACAATTTTATAGCGTTGGTACATTTAGTTGAGAGTCATTAGATTTTTGGTGTCGCATATTGGTATAGATCTTGGGCCAGACAAATCGTCTGGAAGGATTTTTTTTTCTGTTTTCAAATCATGGTGATAGTTATTGTATCGAGGTGAAGGTATAGTTGAATAGGTTATATAGTCTTGGTTTGAAACTACTGTAGTACAGGGGTCGGGAACCCATGGCTCGCGAGCCATATATGGCTCTTTTGGTGACGGCATATGGCTCTCAGAAAAATCTAATATCCCAAGACTAAGCTTACTATTGTTACGAGATTTCAAACTCTTTTATAGCCAAATTTGGCAGGAAATTCCCAATACGTTTGAGAACGCGCGTCCAGCACATGTCTATGTTATGTAAGATAATTACCAGACAGGCATTGTGACAAACAAGGGGATTCTGGAACATATATTGTGACATCACGGAGCGATAGAGTTTCAAAAACACTACGGAGATGCCTAAACGAAAAAGGGTGATGAGTATCGTAGATTTCAACTTGGGCTGCATGTGAGCAACCGTTCAAGGCCCGCAGCGACTACATGCAGCATCAGAAATCACATTAAATGTATATTGACATTGTATGTGTTGACTTTTGAGTGAACATTTCAGGCCTGATTAAGTGAAGAAATGTTATATGGCTCGCACGGAAATGCAATTGAAAATATGTATATTTTATGGCTCTCTTGACCAAAAAGGTTCCCGACCCCTGCTGTAGTATGTATATGACAACCGTCTATGGGCGCGATCATGAGTTGAAAATTAATGATAACAACAACCTTGTTGTTTAGAATATGGATCCACGTTACAATATTTCCAAAACATATTCGCACCTCAAAACGATAATATGATATAGATTCATCTAGATTCTTGGGCCAAGTAAAAGACTTGAAATACGATGTTTTTGGAAGCGATAGAAGAAAAGAATAGAATATTCGGCAGAAGACATAAAACATTGTACCATTCCACATAAACTAAAATTTTTCCACATTCTTGTCATATAGGTCCGTTTTTTGTAAAAGAGTTGATTTTATGTCATTTTTCCTTTATATTAAAAGTGCGAAAACGGACACTATATCTCGAAAACGGTGTTACATTGTAGCATTACAAAAACTCTTGTTTACCTTTACTGTCGTGTCCAGTACTTGCTACACCTTAGCCAAATACAGGACTTTTACTAAACGCAAATAACAAATTAAGATTCTCTATTATAAGCGCATAATAGAGTGCCATTTAGTCGATGAAATAACCGATGGTGGCCCGAATTAAATTCACTTGTAAGGCTCTCTTTATTCATATCCCGTGTTTGGGCGATTCCATTATAGTGATGAATGCACAACAGTCGTAAATTTCTCTATTCCTGGAAGCAATATGTCGTTAAAGTCGTGACGGTCATACCGTTATGTGTGTTATGTTAGCATTTCAGTATACATTGAATCTCAATGGTAATATTTTATACTGTGTAATATACAGAATTATTATGGTATGTGTGGCGTATTTGAAAAGATTAAGTAACTATAGATGATTGTTTAAAGGTATTATCAATAGTTGAATGTCAATGTCCCTGTTGCAGAGCCACTGTATGAGTACTATCATTTATTAAGTCAAAGAATTGGACCTACTGTGGGAGGACAGTAAACTT